ATGAGAGCATGTCCCATTGCTGCCAATGGTGATTGTCACAATGGCAGGAGTGTGTTGGGATATGACGAAATATGAGTTTTTACGTTCCAAAAAGAAACTATTCAAGTACAAAGTTTTCGACACGTACAATCGGACTTTGATCGTGATGTCGGAATTCGATGCAAGTATGCCTGACGCAAGTCTGTCGGACAATCTGCATCCACACAAAAAGGGAATCACCCTATACAAGTGAGATATCGGTGTTGTGTACAATGCAGTAGGGAATAAAACAAGATGTCCCAAAGTACTGCATTCAACACAGAATTGTCGTAGAGGTCAAATCAAGTTCTGTAAACAAGGGATTTTGCAAGGGAAAATCGTTGAACTTACTTTTGTGATTGAAACATCAATTCAAGCCAAACATTAATCAAATAGGAACAATTTCACTCAAAGTATACCTAGACACAGGAGAACTATTGTTGTAAAAGTGTTGTACAGTCGATTACGAATTTAGATTGCAGAGAGTTTGTTCTGAGCGCTAAAGGCACTCACGATAGAGCACATTTTGCTTTATTCTAACATCAATGGCATGCGGGTATTCTACCGTGTAGTGTTTGGAAAAACTCATCCACTGACAGCCGTGTATGAGAAGTTGATCGCACAAAAAATTGGAGTGTCCCAGCAGGAACGAGCACTTGAGAGATTTCTCTTTGGAATCCATTCCCAAATTGATCGTTACTTTGAGCGTCTGGTAAGATGCGGCACGAACGCAGAAGAGAACCTACCTGACTTGGGCACCTACATGGAGACATGCTACCATGGAGGAAGCCTACCAGAGTCAAACTTTTTTGTTGTTGCAAAGGACTCTGTCGGCCATGGTGGAACAGGAGACAAGACTGAGAGTCAGCTGAAGAGAGAGAAGGAAAGGGCCCAGAAGAAGAGCCTGGGCAAATCAGTAAAAAATCCTGACATGAACAAAGAACATCGCTACACCGGAAGAACTACTACTGAGTTAATCAAACGGACAGGCGAACAGCCTCCAAAGCACGCCAACGGAAAGGAACTGAGCCTCATTTGGCACACAAAGGGCGAATGCAAGGAGCACTGTGAGCGCAAGCATTCTCATTGTAAGCTGACTGACGAGGAAGCAACCGCAATGAAGGATTATGTAAATAAGAATAAGTGAGATGGAGGCCGGGAATCATCGGATTCTTGCAGGCCATCTCAATCGGACCCACTTTCATTACCATCTACTTCAATTGGAGGTAGTGCTAATACTATAGGTGAGCTGGTTGCGTTGGCTAATGAAACTTATTCAAAACACGGCTGGCAAGTCACTGCTCGTTTATTCCGTTCAGATGATGCTGCACCAGATATTGATAAGCTTCCGCACCCTGCCGCACCAATGCTACACCGAGGAATGAAAAATGGGGCTCCTGTGGTGGTTCATTTGGAGCCATGGAGCCAGAGCCAACTTGACATGCAAGTTGCTCGGGGCTGTCATTCATCAGCAAACAAATTCAAAGAGTTTCTGAAGGAGGAGTTTTTGGATTTTGGAAGGAAGGGATTTTGGATCCTACTTCCATACGACGCCATCAAGGACGAGAAAGGACTTTGCCTTTCTCCAATTGGCTGCATACATACCACAAGATAACAGAAGACCGCGGATGATTGTTGATTATTTGTTCTGGGGACTCAACGACAAGACAATGAAACTTGCCCCAGAGGGAGCTATGCAATTTGTCATGGCCCCACTACGCATCCACAAGGCACTCATGAAGGCAAACCCGGACTATGGGCCAGTTTACATGTACAAGAACAACATGTCGGATGGTTTCTATCGCATCTGACTGTCAACCACCGGCGCATTCCAGCTTTGGGTCATCTTACCGCGTTTTGAGGGACTTCCACAATTGGTTGCACTACCACTTGTGCTTCCAATGGGTTGGACAGAGAGTCCTCCATGGTTCTGTGCTTTCACGGAAACCGTTGCCGACCTGACAAATGTTGACTTGCCATCACTGACTTTGAAGTGAGGGACACACAAGTCGTGAGACAAATACCAAAATCTCACCAGCCACTGACTTACCAGCGCCCATTGAAAAAGATGGAAGTATTTGTGGACGATTTTGTTGGAATGGGCCAAGACCATCCAAGCAATCCCTTGACAAATCAACGAGCCGTCCTCAGCCACAACATTGACAAGGTCTTCCGACCGAATCGACCCACCGACAATCAGTGGCAAAAAGAGCCACAGTCACAATCGAAAGTGGCTAAGGGAGATGCCTCTTGGCACACAGTCAAAGAAGCCTTGGGTTGGAACTGGGGAGCGACAACAAAGACATTGCAATTGAAAGAGAAACGAGTGAGCAAGGCCCTGTCACTCCTGGGCGAGGTCTTGGATTGCAAACGCATCTCCCTGAAACGATGGCAGCAGGTGTTAGGAGTCTTCCGAAGCCTGCAGCCAGGAATGTCCGGCAGTGAGGGACATTTCTCCCTGTTGCAGGATGCACTGATTTGACAGGTGGATTGTAGGGTGCGGTTGACTCCTGAGGTCCGTGAGCAACTGGAAATCTAGTAACAGCTGTCAGCCCAAAAACATCATTGAAACTCTTTTAGGCCCAATTGGTGTCTGCAAAAATCCAAAGCGATTGAGGAGGATGAGCAATCGCTGTACTGTATTGGCGTTCAATAAATTTGGGAGTAAGGAACAATAATCGTAACGTGACTGACTGGACTTTTGAGTCCAGAGCAGATGTATCAGAGCAATTGAAGGACAATCACCAAATATTCAGCCCACAATCAATTGTCCATCATCTACTCCCAGCTGCTTCAGACCCTTGCAAGTACACTCCAATAGCAATAGCAATCACCATCTTTGCCATATTCAACAGCAGATACATCACATGAGAGTCAGTTACATAAGCCATATCTGCGAGGGGGGTGATCCATCCCCTAATTGTATGGATTACCAGGTGCCACCTCCACTTCATGACTCAATGTCTAGCATGATTGGCCTAGGATGATTACATACTACAAATTTGTACCAAACGAGATTTTGCCAGTCCTCCATACATAGGTAAGAGATGTAGCGTTCGCACAGTAAGCTTGGTTACTAGAATTAGGGACCGGATTTGAAAACAGGAATTGAATATTCGACCCAATGGGCTCAATTTGAGACTTTAATGGTAAGGAGCATTTGGTGCAGAAGAGATAAATCAGGAACCGGGTGGGATGGTGGGGAAAAAAGATACAATCTTTCTGAACTGCTTCTAATGATCATGGTTCCTTAGCTCTTCATTGTCTCAAACAATGCTTCTGTTCATGCCTTTGTTTGCCATGCCAATAGTCCCCAAGTTTTGTCCAATAATTACTGTTCGCTTATGCAACTGACAACACAAATGTTGGCATGAAGACAGATGTCTTCTCTTGCCAGTCTGTCTACCATCTTGCCTGATCATATTCCTATGGATTACCGGGTGCCGCCTCCACTTCATGACTCGATGTCTAGCGTGATTGGCCTAGGATGATTGCATACTATGAATTTGTACCAAACAAGATCATGCCAGTCCTCCATACATAAGTAAGAGATGGCATCGCAAGCTTGGTCACTAGAATTAGGGACCAGATTTGAAAACGGGAATTGAATATTTGGCTCAATGTACTCAATTGTGCCACAAAATTGGGAATTTAATGGTACCAAGCATTTGGTGCAGAAGAGATAATTCAGGCCAAGGAATGGCATGCAATTGCTTCCAGAGGAAACAGAAAGAAGGGCCAGCAATACACTATCAAGTGCATGGACAATTGGAAAAAAAGAAAAGAAAAGAAAGAAAAATTGTTGATGGCTGGGGCATCATACAAAAAGGAGGGGGAAATTTGCACAGGATAGCAAGGTAATTATCTAAGAAATGTAGTGGCATTGATCATTGTGATGGCATCATTTTGTTGAATGCACAGATGGATAACGTTGCACAGGTATGCCATAAATGCATCTGATTTCCATCGGAGGAGGAACTTGATCTGGTCAGTGGTGACTACTGAGGTGTGGACAAGGACACAAGCGCCAAATCGGATAGAGTGGGAAGAATACTGGATCTTGTCTTGTTTTGGGTCTAGGTTGTAGAGCAAACAAGCAGCATTGCGCATGACATGGCGTCATGAAGGAAGAGGACTCAGGCACCATCTTGGTAGACTGCATGGGGGACATTGGTAGTGTTGATACCAATCAATCTGTCAAACCAGAAAGGATGGAATGCATTTGACAAGGTGGGGACTTATAAAAAGATTTTCTTTGCCATGGTTACCATTCTTCAGGTGGGAGAAATGCATTTTTATGTGCCAAACAAACAAGGTCTGGATTCCAAAGGAAGTTGGAAATGGATACTTTACATTTGAAGTTGTCAAAACATGTAACATCTTTGACACAAAATGCAATAGAAATGCCGTCAAAGGTGGCTTGGTCGCAAATCTTTTTGTTGGCAGAAGTTTGGGCATACCCGGACAGGCGGTGACCATCAAGGAGGCCAATATTGTTCCAGTTTTCACATGTTTTCCAGAGACCGCCACGGTAGGCTTTGGTGTCAATATTATGCTTCTCAAGTGTTGTTGCATGTTTCTGGCGTTCAATTTCAGCAATGATGGTGGCATGACTATCTGGAAACATTTTGGTATTGATTGGGTCTTTGTAGCGGGGATCATGACTGGTAAAGAGCCTAAAGAACACTGTTGCATGGAGGTACTGCGTGATTATGGCAGACTTGATGTATTGACCTTTGAGGGTGCAACCAGTGCCAGAGTGTAGAGGGCAAAGGTTGCGACGCGGCGTTTGTGAGGGAAGTTGGGGCCATTCATCAAGTAGTTGTCAAGTAGGTTCATATCATAGCAAAACTTGAGGAAATGGAGTTGGGGGAAAAAGGTCCAAGATTTGCTGGGATTGTTAGTGGCGTCTGCTTTAAATTGTAGAATAGACATGAGTGCAGGACAGAGCAGAGTTTGGGACTTGGCTGGAAATAATTGTAGTTTCTCATCCAAGTTAAAGTGCAAAATGTCTTTGAAAGTAATTGATGGTGAGAGAGTTTCATTTTTGGGTGTGAAATTAAATCAGCAGCAAAGTTGTCAGCACCGTGGATATGATCAAAAAGAGTAGCCAGGGGGGAGCATTTGAGGAGCTAACCATGCAAATTGTGCAAAAGGTCTGTTGGTTTGGATGTTATTCATCCATCTCTAAGTGGGGGTGTTAGAATAAAGCAAAATGTGCTCTATCGTGAGTGCCTTTAGCACTCAGAACAAACTCTCTGCAATCTAAATTTGTAATCGACTGTACAACACTTTCACCACAATAGTTCTCCTTTGTCTAGGTATACTTTGAGTGAAATTGTTCCTATTTGATTAATGTTTGGCTTGAATTGATGTTTCAATCACAAAAGTAAGTTCAACGATTTTCCCTTGGAAAATCCCTTGTTTACAGAACTTGATTTGACCTCTACAACAATTCTGTGTTGAATGCAGTACTTTGGGACATCTTGTTTTATTCCCTACTGCATTGTACACAACATCGATATCTCACTTGTATAGTGTCATTCCCTTTTAGTGTGGATGTAGATTGTCCAACAGACTTGCGTCCAGCATACTTGCAAAGTACTTTGTACTTGAATAGTTTCTTTTTGGAACGTAAAAACTCATATTTCGTCATATCCCAACAACATGTCAATGATAGTAGCATGGAGATTGAGCTTGTTAGACTCATAGTCTCTCTTTGCATAGTTCCATTCCTCGTTTTTGCTTGTCCACTTGGCTGCAAATTGCTTGTTCTCAAGTTTCTTCTGATCAGCTTCCCTTTACCAGCTTCCAGTAAATCGTTACCAGCTGGTGTTTCCTGCTTTGAATCCTTGTTGAACTTGATAGGAAAATCTTCCAACATGTTCTTAACATAGTCGTCCATGCGGATCTTGAGTTTTCCTTTCACCAAGAAATCCAAAGTCATTCCAAGATATCTGTGTATCTTTCCTCTGACAATTGTACATGCCTTGATCAAACCATATCTCATGTTCAACTACCTGGCAAATTCGTCATTTACTTTCGGATCCATGTGACTTGACATAAGATCGTCAACATGAAATCTGATAGTTTGCTGTTTTCCATCAACTTCTTTGTTATAGAATAGGAGGCTCAATTGCAACATCCCATAAAAAGCACGTAGTACCTGCACATAGATTACTTGCTTTCCGTTCTCTAATACAACGTATTTGCGATACTCTGGGGCCATGTCAATCAATATCTGGACCATCATGCCAGTGATTTTCATGTAGATCCGATCTTCTCCTTCCTTAGCATCAGGCATATAACTTTGAATGAAAGCGTTAGGCACGTCCATTGTCATTATATCTCTACCTTCGTGTGCATCAATAACACAAGTAGTGGTGATTGCTTCCTGCAAAGCAGTTGGACTTGCAGTGTCCTCTTGCGATAGCCATTCATGAGTTCCATTGCCTTGGTATACTAGGCAACCTTTAATTGTCTTTTCGAATTGCTTCTCCGCGAGTAACATCATCGCTGATTGGGCCTTCTTTCGCTCAGATGCAGTCATGACTTTCACAAATTTGGGAGTGAAACAATCTCTCATGTGCATTTGTCTCAATTCCTTACCCACAGCATCCTTTCCATCATCACAAAACTTCTTCAGTCCTTGATTGATGTAATACTGTTGAATGAAGTTCAGACCTTCATCAGTATCAAACTTGGCCTTGATCTGCATCATGCAACGAGCGATCAGAATAGTGTCATGGCAGTGCTCTTCATAATCAGCTTTCATCTCATTCCCAATCTGTTGGAAACATAGATTGGGCTGTGCTTCAAGGCTAGCTTTACTGTCTTTAGTACTGCAATTTCCTTCTTTGGTGTGAATACCAGATTTTAACTTGTTCTTCAACGGATTCAATTCTCTTTCTTGATGCTTGCGTCTTGTCGCAACTCGATTCTTGTTCTTATTGGCAGAACTGTCACTCCTGCTCGAAGGCCATTCTCTTGTTTTCTTTGGAACTTGAGAAAGGTTCAGCCCAGCAGACATTGCAGCTTGTGCATACGTTTGCCCAGATTGAGTGACTTTTGCTACTTGAGGCATTTCAGGCTCCAATACAATCTCTTCTTCTGGCGGCTCTTGTAGGTCCTCCAGACCAGTAACAAGGCTCCCAATATCATCAGTTCCTCTATCGACATTTTCTCGATGGTGATCCAAATTGGCCACAATAGGTTCTTCCTCTTCATCGCCTCATCACCCGAATCGTTGTCTGATTCATAGTTATCATCTCCTTGGAATCTGACAGTGAGTTCTGGCATATCATTGTCTGCATCTGCCAAGAGCTCTTCTCTTTTGGAGTCATCGATATCTTCAAATTGTCCATGTAGGTTGAATTCACATTCATCTTCATCTTCAGGTTCATAGTCCTGATCAAAGGCTTCTTCTAAGTAACCTTGTTCCGTGTCATCCACTCCTGCGATTTGATTGCCATCCTGAAATGTCTCCAAATCTCTTTTCTTATCAAAGAAGTTCATGGAAGTAACACCTTTGGCAGCAGCCCAAGCTTCAACATGCTGGATTACTTGATCGGTAACGGGTAGTACAACGACCTTGGGTTGGGAAATCATCTTCTTAGTATTGAGGTTGAGCACTTGGTGCCCAGTACGTTGTCCCTTCGTAGGTCCCGTTCCATCAAATTGTTGGAATCTGTCCCAATTGCATGAACATATTGTCCAAGTTGAGTCCAGCATATCCATTCTGTTTGTTTGAAGAAAGTTCAAATGGGGTTGATTATTGAAGTTGCTTAACTGGCGACGGTACATCGCACTTGTCTCTTTGGCACCTGGTTTGACATTTGCTCCAAGTTGCTCCAACACATACACACCCTTACGATTCACAAATCGCATCTTTCTGTTTCCATCACAATGCACAATAAATGCATTGTCAGCATCAGTATCCATAGTAATGCGGTATCCCACAGCAATCATCTCGCGCATAGCAAGTACATTGGCAATTCCATCTTCATTGTGATAAACTGGAGGTGGAAATCTTCCTAGAAAACCTTCTTCGTCGAGAACTCTGCTGCCCACGTTAGTGTGCATGTCAAGTTCTTTCTCAGCATGACGGAGTCCATGCATAAGCTCACCACTACAAATGGTGGTGTTTGTACAACCACTGTCCATGATGACATGATCGTACAACCCAAATGGATCTCTTTCCTTTCTGCAGCTTTGAATAAACTGCAGACCTCGATCTGCTTCAGTAGCAAGATCAGGCAAATCTTCATCTTCACTAGCATAGTGCCAGTCAGCTTGAAGTTCGACATTTGTCGTACCAGCAGGACATGGAATAAGATAGACATCATTGCCATTCTCATCCTTTCCCATGATAGCATCGTGAAAGACATTTGACATATCAAAATATCCAGTTTTCACAGCTTGCGGAGTTCGAGCTTGAGTTGCATCGCATCCTTGTCGCACTTGAGCACCACTGAAGCCTTGTCGGCTGAGTTGCATTCCACTAACGCAATCTCACCGTTAGCATTCATAGAATAAGGGACAGTAACAGTCCCGCCACCTTGAGTTGGAATCTGCATGAGCTGCATTCCAGAAGGAACTTGCATCATTTGATTACCTGTAGTACCAGCAAGTCACAAAGGTGTGTTAACGCTTCCCGCAACACTTGATGCTCCACTTGTGGACGCTGAAGCTCCACGAACTATAGCTGGAACAGTAGCTGGGACAGTTGCTCCAATCTGATTAGGATTGAGCTTCTTCCCATAGTCAACATATTGATCCTCATTCTTTTATTGGGTCTTTGGTGGCAGTCTGTCTGGGCATTTTGGAGACATATGGTCTTTGTTGCCACATACATAACATGCTGCCTTCTTTCCATCCTTCGGCTTCCCCTTTCCTTTTCCTTTACCTTTACCTTTATTAGGTTGGTCTTTTCCTTGGTAGAGGTTCACTCCCGGATTTTTACTCACTTCCATGTGAATTTTCAACATATCTTGTGCTTTGCTGACCGTCTTTGGATAATAATCCACTCCTCTGCAATAGTTCGTCTGAAGATCCAGCATCAGAGGAGCTTTTCTTGTTCGATCGCAGTTGCACAGAAATCCTGTTGCAAGAACAGCTTCAAAGATATCATCCTTGAACTTGTTTTGAGCAGCAGTATTGGTGCTAGCAATAGCAGCATATGCTTTCATCTTGACTGCAAAATCTCGGAACCAGGCCACGCCAAATAGATCTTTGGTAGCAGTCTGTCTGGGCATTTTGGAGACATATGGTCTTCGTTGCCACATACATAACATGCTGCCTTCTTTCCATCCTTCGGTTTCCCCTTTCCTTTTCCTTTTCCTTTACCTTTACCTTTATTAGGTTGGTCTTTTCCTTGGTAGAGGTTCACTCCCGGATTTTTACTCACCTCCATGTGAATCTTCAACATATCTTGTGCTTTGCTGACCGTCTTTGGATAAAAATCCACTTCTCTGCAATAGTTCGTCCGAAGATCCAGCATCAGAGGAGCTGTTCTCGTTTGATCGCAGTTGCACAGAAATCGAACAGCTTCAAAGATACCATCCTTGAACTTGTTTTGAGCAGCAGTACCGGTGCTTTTATCTTGACTGCAAAATCTCGGAACCAGGCCGCGCCATATAGATCTTGTAGGACTTCGGCCTGTCTCAAGAATCGTTTCTTGAAATGCATCAAATTTTTGGTTGTTCCTTGCTTCATAGCAAAGAACTTTTGATTCACTTCCCAGAAATCCAAGAAATCATACTCAGCATCAGCACTCTTCTTCATGAATCGTTCAATACGTTTCAAGAGTTCGGCTTCACCTTGAAGCTTGATATCCATTGCCTTCGTCACAAACTTCAGCATGATTTTTGATTTGACGGTTCTCTTGTTTGTCTTGAAGTAGGCTGATAGTTGCATGTTCTTGTTGAGCTTTGCAGAATAGATAATCTTGTTTTGGGCCATCTCTGTTTCTCTTGCAACAGCTTCAGTTTGAGTTGGAGCGTTCAATCTTGGAGCGATCGCATTGAAGTCGATCGACTTTCCATCTCAAATTGATTTCACCATGTCTTTGGAACATTTCATTCCAGAAGCTTGGATGTAGTCAATCACTCTTTCTTTGGCATCTTCGTACGACGATCTTGCCTTTCCATCGTTTTCATCTTTTGTTGAAAATAGATGTTTCACCATTTTTGAACTCAAATTGCTCTTGACTTTCTGAGGAGTCACACGTCCTCTTCCACCACCCGATGAAGAACGTCCCATGGTCAACAAATCACTCACTCCTTTGTAGACAAGGCAGTGCTGTTCTTGACATAAATTTGTTTTGTTGCCTTTTGTGATTGAATGGTAGAATAAAGCAAAATGTGCTCTATCGTGAGTGCCTTTAGCGCTCAGAACAAACTCTCTGCAATCTAAATTTGTAATCGACTGTACAACACTTTCACGACAATAGTTCTCCTGTGTCTAGGTATACTTTGAGTGAAATTGTTCCTATTTGATTAATGTTTGGCTTGAATTGATGTTTCAATCACAAAAGTAAGTTCAATGATTTTCCCTTGGACAATCTATATCCACACAAAAAGGGAATGACCTTATGCAAGGGGGAAGTAGGGAATAATACAAGATGTCCCAAATTACTCCATTCAACACAGAATTGTCGTAGAGGTCAAATCAAGTTCTGTAAACAAGGGATTTTGTCCAACAGACTTGCGTCCGGCACACTTGTGTCAAATCCCGACATAACGATCAAAGTCCGATGGTACGTGTCGAAAACTTTGTACTTGAATAGTTTCTTTTTGGAACGTAAAAACTCATATTTTGTCATATCCCAACAGGGGGTGTTGTCAGTGTGGTTGAGCAGAACTGGAAAGTTGGGAAATCCGTTGGGGAATTTGTGGACCATGCCTGGGCATGGAAAGTTCCTTCAAGGCAGACAACCATGGCAACTTCTTGTAGAAAGGCTACCAAGAACTCAAGGCTATTGATGTGGACACATTTTGGGTTGCTGTCTTTCAATTTAGTTCCAGCAACAGTATCTGGGCTCCAAACTGTGTGGAAACAAAAATGAAGTTCATATGAATAGGCACCTCCTCCGTACAAAGGTGTCAAAAACTGCAAAGTACTTTTCCAGTTTTCTTGAAGAAACACGCAAAACATATGAGGAAAATGACGATTTAATTGATCGCATTCAGGATGAAATCAAAGAATGTGAAAATCAAGTCAATGATACTTGTGAATTTGTGGTGAGTTTGGATGAGAATGAAAATGAAAATGATGAATCTGACAATTATTCGGATGAATCAAGCGAAGATGAAAATTAGGAAAATGATGATGTGAATAAACAGGACATATTCAGTCCAAGGAAAACCAGGAGTGGTAAATGTTATGTTCAGGATGTAATAAAAATGAGACCAACTGAACGTAATGATTATGATTGTGTTATCAACAATACCTGAATCAAAAGAAACCAAGGTGCAATTTATTGAAGAACAGGAGTGCAATGAGAAAAAAGGAAAAAGTCAAGAAATTGAAAGGTTATTTGAATGCAATAATTTGAAGGAAAATTCAAGGAAAAGGATTCCAAAAAAAGAGTCAAAGTACAATCTACTATTCCAACAGGTTAGAAGTGACAAGAAAACTGAATGCGGAAGAGACAAGGCAACTCTGATTGCACGATTCATGCAACAAATCAAGGATAAAGTCCAAAATGAAGGAGTATCGTTTATCCAACAATACTACAACTGACATTATTCAAAGATGAAGGCAATAAGGCTGTGATGAAAGAACTTGACCAATTGATACAAAGAGAATGTTGGGAACCAATTCATGTTGAAGACATGACTGATTTGGAAGAAAAATAGAGCCCAAGATGCTATGATGTTATTGGCTGAGAAAAACACTGTTGAAATAAAGGGAAGATATATCTACAAAGGAGATGGAACTCAAGAACTCAAATGCCAATAGATGCAAAATGGAGAGTGATGATGAAGATCACTGGATTATTGGTATATATGATGATACAACTGGAACCAAGGTATTGTGATTACATTGTGATTGAGAATGGAAAAAGAGTGATTTATGTGAGAGTATTGCGAGCCATCTATGGGATGTTAGAGGCCTCTATGCTCTGGTACAAAAAGTTGAGAGGAGACATGGAGCAACATGGTTTTATTTCAATCCATACAATAAATGTATTGCCAACAAGATTGTGAATGGCAAACAACAAACTATTTGATTTCATGTAGACGATCTATGATCAAGCCACATTGATCCAAAAGTGAAGGATGATTTTTGTGAATGGATGAATAAAAAATATGGTTCAATCAAACCAGTCAATCTAAGGGAGGAAAAATACAGGAGTATTTGGGAATTACCCTAGATTTCAGCAAAAGGGGGAAAGTCAAAGTCCGAATGGATGACTATGTCAATCGAATGTTGAATGAATTTCCTGTGAAGTTCAAGGAAGATGAAGGGTGTAACACACCAGCAAGTAATGATTTATTATCAATCAGAAAAGGAGAAAAATTGGATGATGAGAAAAATGAAACTTTTCACACATTCATTGCCAAAGGATTATTTCTGAGTAAGAGAGCAAGATTGGATATTGCTCCAACTATTTCAGCACTTTCAACAAGAGTACCAAAGCCAAATCAAACTGATTGGGAGAAGCTAGTGAAGCTGATGTATTGCAAGCAATGAGTGAAATGGTTGATAAAGTAGGATCTCTGATAGATCTATATACTTCTATATACTGTAAATTCATATACTTAGAAGGAAACAATAGTTGGATTTCGGTTCTTGCGGATATCAGACAAGCAACAGGCTTGTCAGACAAGCGACAGACTTGTCCTTGTCCAAACCAATTGACAACTTTGTGGCCCATCAAGCCATCATTGCCAACCAGCCGTGCCAACATGCGACCTATCAAGTCATCATGCAGAGGCGCTAACCATAGCAATCTCCAATCCATCTAATACAAAATAATCATCTCTACAGGAAATATCCTTTGTAAAAGACTTGTTATCTACATGGAATGGGCAAAGCAAAAGCCTTGCACAAAAACTCAAATTTCCCAAACCTTTACTGGATGTTTGCAATCCAGAAAGGACAGTACAAAGCCCTTGTACAGAACTCCCGCAGGATTCAGTATGGGATTTTTGTGGCTCAGACATTTGATGGTCCAAGCGCACAATTCCATGTTTTCGGATTCCCTGCAAAACCGACTCATAGGAATCCACTAAATAAACGGACCAAACGGACATTTGTCCGTCTGTCCGATCGGACGTGTTGAACTGCTTTGATCAAGGAGTTTCCAATGAATGGTCTCCAAGAGAGCAATTTCAACAACAATACCTGGACAGCTAAATTGCAGTCAAATGAACAGGTGGATTGCAGGCGGCAGTGGATTACTTACTTCTAACAGTTCATCTCAAAGTCTGCTGCTCTATTCATATTCTTGGTAAGCCATGCAGAATTGAGAATCTTGTTTGGGGTATTTTTTGTTGTTGCAACAACTTCAGTTGGAGTTGGAGCATTCAATGTTGGAGTGATTGCATTGAAGTTGATTGAGTTTCCATTTTGAATCAACTTCACCATGTCTTCTGAACATTTCATTCCAGAAGCATGGATGTAGTCAATCAATTGTTCTTCAGCATCTTCTTACCACAAACTTGCCTTTCCATCATTGTTGTCTTTCATTGAAAATAGATGTTTCACCACTGCTGAACTTGGATTGCTCTTGACTTTCTGAGGAGTCACACAATCTGAGTCACACAATCTTCCACTACCGGATGAAGTATGTCCCATTGTCAACAAATCAATCACTCCCTTGTTGATAAGGCAGTGCTATTCTTGACATATTGTTCTTCTGATGCCTTTTGTGATGAAATGTTAGAAATAAGCAGACTGTGCTCTGTTGTGAGTGCCTTTAGCGTTTAGAACAAACTCTCTGCAATCTAAATTTGTATTCAATTGTACAACGCTTCCAAGATAATAGTTCTCCTGTATAGGTATACTTTGAGTGAATTTGTTTCTATACTGTTTGGCTTGAATTGATGATTTAATCACTAACATGAGTTGAGCAAATTTCCTTTTGGGAAATCGCTTGTTTGCAGAACTCAAACCATACTTGTCTGACCTATTCCTGTAGAGCAAGAATCAGATCTCTGAACTTGCAAAATTTCTCATCTAGCAATGGCTTGGTCATGAAATCAGCAATTACATAATCTTTGCTTGCTCTATTTTGCAAGGGCATTGAATAAAGTAGTAATAGAACTGGTTCCGGAAGTTCCAACTTTCAACTATGATCTGGGGATTTGGTGTCGGAAAATTTGCCATTTATTAGTTTTTATTATTGTGAAGCTCCGTGTAGCATCATATTGCAGCTGACTACATAAGTTTATGTTCCTTTTTTGGGACTTGGTCAACTTTCTATTTGTTATGTTTTAGCCTTTATGGCACCTTGTTTCTGCTTTTCCCACCATTTGCAGACCAGACCATGTACACCTATACTACACCTTTCTGCTCAGAATGCCCACAGGTCAATCCAGAAAGGCCGGTACAAGACACACGTACAGAACTCCCGCAGGATTCAGTATGGGATTTTCATGGCGCTCAGACTGTTTGATAGTCCAAGCGCATAAGATCCCCCAAATAAACGGATCAGACATGTCAAACTGCTTCAATCAAGGAGTTTCCAATGAATGGTCTCCAAGAGAGCAATTCCAACAAGTTCCAATAGTGTCAAAACGTTTCAATCTCTTGTTGAAGTTCTCCTGTCGCCAAGGTCTAGCCCAAATCTTGAACTCAAAAACTTTGAGGCTGTCGGTTTCTTGAATGATAGATGTGACCATCCAGTGAACAAAAACAAAGACCTTGTTCTAAACAAGACTTCTTGGCCGAATGTACGCCATTGCCCATCTGCTCGTAGACATGGTTTGGGTCCATGTGTTCGGTGATGTCTCTCCAGCACTGTCCTTGATAGGTTTCTTGGGCTCTTTTTTTGCATCGCTGGTTCTCCAATCCTTCAACTACTATTGTCTAGCATTATCAGTCGCTCCAGTATTCATTGTAGGCTATCAGCAGTGAAGAGTGCCCTTGTTGAGAGCATTGGATTGTCCAAAACCGATGCCATAATAATAATTCACAATTTGAAAAGTAGTTTCTTTGCGAGATGGGAAAGCAGGGATAGCATTTGGGGAGTCTCAATTAATCTCCCAAAAGTTCCGTAAAAATTCTCCAAGGTTACCTAAAAGTTCCCTGAAAGTTCCCTTTTTTTCAACGGGATTTCCAGGATATCCCCGTGTGAAAACAGTTTCAGTTTTACCGTGTCATCACTAATTAACGCGCGTTTCACAACCTATAGTCGGTGTTGGATATATTAGGATTTTTGAAGTACATATTTGGAGAAACAAGAAAAAGAGAATTGATCGGCAAGACGGGAGACATATGGGCGTTTCTAGCTCTTCCTTAGTCTCAATTTCCGTCGTGTCGATTGCGGCGCGTCGCTTCAGTGAAATAAACGGTTGGCGGACGGAGCGAAGAGTGTCGACAAAGAGGGCGGAAGATTTGGAGAAGACATTGTTTGCAATGGGAGCTTGTGGGATGATGGAGACGATAGAAGGAGCTTAGCTGCTCGGTCAAGACCGTCAGCTTTTTTGCTTTTTGCTTTTGTCTGCATCCCACTGAATTTCTCAAAATCCTCCGTCAAGGTCCTCCGTTGAGGTTATCAACCTTGAGGTTGGCATCCAGCCACTCTCCGTGTGCAACATGTTGTACATTTACTCCTTTGTCGAGGAAAAAACACCAAATCCTCCGTCGAGGTCCTCCGTCAAGGTTAACAAAATCCTCCGTCGAGGTCCTCCGTCGAGGTTACCAAAATCCTCCGTCGAGGTCCTCCGTCAAGGTTACAAAAATACTCCGTCAAGGTCCTCCGTCGAGGTTAACAACAAATCCTCCGTCGAGGTCCTCCGTCGAAGCTACAAAAATCCTCCGTCGAGGCTACAAAAATCCTCCGTTGAGGTCTTCCGTTGAGGATAAAAAATCCTCCGTTGTTGTCCTCCGTCGAGGTTACAAAATCCTCCGTCGAGGTCCTCCGTCAAGGCTATCTGACAATCCTCCGTGGAAATCTACATATTGCCTCTCTAGCCGCAACATGTGGCTATAAACAACTACTTTTGCTCTCCTCGCTAAAGCCGTCTGTCTCTAATACTTATTTTAAAGTTGATTTTGGATCCGAGCTTTTCCTGTCTCCTTTGTTCTTGGCCCATTTCTCCCATGCGACTCTCATCCTTCCCTCTCCAAGATGGATATCCCTTGCCTGATTATGTTTCTACATCTTCTAGTCTTTATATATTTACAGTTCCATCTTTCCCAATAACCCCCGAACGCCTTTCTAGGGGCATTTAAAAAACTTTTCCTTCCCAGATCAAAAACTTTTCTTCCCTTTTTATTTCCCATTCACACTTCCCTCTCCACCTGCTGACACGCCATTTCTATGGAATCCCTTCATGGTGGAACAGTTTGACACGGTTATGGTTGCTTTGTCCCGACCTGATGCCGTCCAGTGGCAGCACGTGATCGACCTCACGGGTGTCGCTGTCCACATCCTCCATGACCTCCAAACCGTTTTCCAGGTCATTGCCTCTGAGGCCAAGGACTTCACTCTCCACGCCAAAGCACGACCACTTGGCACCATTCAACGTGCGGAACTATTCTCTGGCACAAAAGCCCAGACACAGCTCCTGCTGGACAAGATTGACGAAGGACTCCAAAATTGTTGCCGCCCCAACTATCCCAGGACGTCCGCCCTCAGTGCCCTGATTTCTTCCACCGCAGCCCCCGACGCTTCGCCTCCTGGCAAACAGTCCTCCGAATCACCATCCTCCAAACAAGATGCAGTCGCATCACCTGCAAAGAAGCCAAAGCCTAGCAACGAGGAAAGCACCACCAGGGGTATGCTCATCTGTACTTCCATCGAACAACCACCGATGCCAGATCAAAAGTGGAAAGTCAACGGTGTGGAGAATACTGCCTGTGTCAACTTCCTCTTCCGCGCCCTTATGGTGAGCCTCCCATCTGAGAAACGAGATCATATCATCCAACGGCTCAAAACCTTTCTACAGCAACATCGTCTAACCCTTCAAGAAATCGCAGAACTCCTTGGTCTGCTTTCGAACGCCACTACAGTTTGCCGCCAACAAGGAAAGCACCACCAGGGGTATGCTCATCTGTACTTCCACCGGACGACCACCAATGCCAGATCAAAAGTGGAAAGTCAACGGTGTAGAGAAGACTGCCTGTGTCAACTTCCTCTTCCGAAACTTCCAGTGCACAAATACTCGTTGCACTTTGCTCCATCTCCATATGCGAGTGTTCCAATCTTGTCCTGTTAGCGAACAGGAGTCCTTCAAGACCTGGGTCCAATTGACTCCAAACGTCAAATGGGCTCCTGGGCAGGAACCACATACCGGTTAGTTTCCTCTTTTTACTTAAGCAACTTTCTTCCTTATCCCAACTTTGCTTTCCACTTACTCCTAGTTAATTTCCTTCTCTCTCATGGTTGATTGTTGTTGCCCCACCAAGTGGCGGCCGCATCAGTAAGCACTCTTACCCGGCAGGTCAACTACTATGCGTCTCGGTCCACACCTAAGTCACATTGCGCTGACCCACAGGACGAGTGTGCTCTCCAGGACTATCCCCCAACTCGGACAATTTTTGACAAGCTCAACCCTGCGGACATGCTTGTTGCTGAACAATTCCGCCACATTCTAGAACAGGGCGCAAGGGTAACACCTACCTTTACTCGGTCGGAACAATCCCATTTTCTTTGGGATCTTCCGAGTAGAACTGTTGTCGCTGTGGAGTCCCCATACTGTAAGGATAGTAACGATCGATGCTTCACCACGGAAAGTACATTTTGCCATACATTTGTTTTCCTCTACAAGAGCGGCTACTTGGACACAACGACCGGCAATCGCTTGGGCAAGGCTTTTTCCGGAGCCTCACTTCTTCGTGTGTTACTCCAGAGCCACGAGTTTGTTGACTTTTGGCCACTTTGTTCCGTTCTCCCTTTGGATACACCAATGGGCCAAGTCATGCACTGTTGGAGCCGGATGTTCACCGCCTGTTTATTACATTACAACTTGGATGTAGCCACCGCCGTTCGCTATGTTGGGAACATACATACAGGGGCCCATTGTGATTGGAACGCTTTGGAACCAGAGCTACGTGCGGCATCAGTTGATGATGGTCTTGTTGCAAATTTACGGTGCGTGCTCGTTGACGGATGTCCGAACTATGTCAATGCCACGTTGTCCGAGAAGAATCGGCGATCCTTTGCTGAATATGGAAATCACGACTCGGTTTATACCAATGTCAAAAAAACACAGAAAGCAGTGCAGAAGGATTTCGCCTGATCCCACAGCCTTGTTGGTAACCCTCTGTTGACACCTTTCCTACCAGATACACAGCAGATTCCACAAGGCCTCATGGTTGTCCCAGGAAAGAGCAATTGTCAAATCTGTGATGGCACCTTTTGTCCTTTGCTTGAGTCTATCGCTACCAATGATATGACAACCAAAGATACGGAGCACAAGGTCGAATTTCCAAAATCGCTTTGGAACCACCTGGCATAAATCTACAATGCTCGGATCAGCTACAAATCTGAGGAACTTTACCTTGGTGACGAAGACGTCTTGGGCGCCTTTCGCCATGGAAAATGGAACCCAAATGTAATTGGAATGCATACGTTTTCCATTTTTGGTTTCCTGTTCTTCTGCACTGGTCTGACATTTGGTGGCAATACCTGCCCGTCAAATTTCAAGATTATAGCCTTAAGCCGTATGTCTCTTGCACGCTTCCTCTGGTCACAGACTTCTACAATTTCTCGGGTTCTACGATACCTTCCGGTGATATTGACGTCACCTGAGCCAACACCTGACGAGATTGCACAGTTCACCCCAGCGGAAGCCGATTCCATCAACAAAGGTGTCTTCAATCCGGACGGATCTCGGATTCCACCCAATTTTGACCACCATGTGGATGATTGTCTTTATGTCGATGTCGCCAAGACACTGAGACAGACAATAGCCTCCAGTGTTCTGGCTCTCTACTTGATCCTCGGCTTCCTAGATCCTTCAAAAGTGATTCAAGATTGCGTGTCTTGGGAAAAGTTCACCACTACTTTGTCCCATGGTTGACACTGCATTGGCTGGTTGATTGATTCTTGCGCCCTTATGGTGAGCCTCCCATCTGAGAAACAAGATCGTATCATCCAACGGCTCAGGACCTTTCTACAGCAACATCTTCTAACCCTTCAAGAAATCGCAGAACTCCTTGGTCTGCTTTCGAACGCCACTACAGTTTGCCGCCAACGAGGAAAGCACCACCAGGGGTATGCTCATCTGTACTTCCACCGGACGACCACCAATGCCAGATCAAAAGTGGAAAGTCAACGGTGTAGAGAAGACTGCCTGTGTCAACTTCCTCTTCCGAAACTTCCAGTGCACAAATATTCGTTGCACTTTGCTCCATCTCCATATGCGAGTGTTCCAATCTTGTCCTGTTAGCGAACAGGAGTCCTTCAAGACCTGTGTCCAATCGACTCCGAACGTCAAATGGGCTCCTGGGCAGGAACCACGTACCGGTTAGTTTCCTCTTTTTGCTTAAGCAACTTTCTTCTTTCTTCCAATTTTGCTTTCCACTTACTCCTAGTTAATTTCCTTCTCTCTCATGGTTGATTGTTGTTGCCCCACCAAGTGGCGGCCGCATCAGTAAGCACTCTTACCCGGCAGGTCAACTACTATGCGTCTCGGTCCACACCTAAGTCACATTGCGCTGACCCACAGGACGAGTGTGCTCTCCAGGACTATCCCCCAACTCGGACAATTTTTGACAAGCTCAACCCTGCGGACATGCTTGTTGCTGAACAATTCCGCCACATTCTAGAACAGGGCGCAAGGGTAACACCTACCTTTACTCGGTCGGAACAATCCCATTTTCTTTGGGATCTTCCGAGTAGAACTGTTGTCGCTGTGGAGTCCCCATACTGTAAGGATAGTAACGATCGATGCTTCACCACGGAAAGTACATTTTGCCATACATTTGTTTTCCTCTACAAGAGCGGCTACTTGGACACAACGACCGGCAATCGCTTGGGCAAGGCTTTTTCCGGAGCCTCACTTCTTCGTGTGTTACTCCAGAGCCACGAGTTTGTTGACTTTTGGCCACTTTGTTCCGTTCTCCCTTTGGATACACCAATGGGCCAAGTCATGCACTGTTGGAGCCGGATGTTCACCGCCTGTTTATTACATTACAACTTGGATGTAGCCACCGCCGTTCGCTATGTTGGGAACATACATACAGGGGCCCATTGTGATTGGAACGCTTTGGAACCAGAGCTACGTGCGGCATCAGTTGATGATGGTCTTGTTGCAAATTTACGGTGCGTGCTCGTTGACGGATGTCCGAACTATGTCAATGCCACGTTGTCCGAGAAGAATCGGCGATCCTTTGCTGAATATGGAAATCACGACTCGGTTTATACCAATGTCAAAAAAACACAGAAAGCAGTGCAGAAGGATTTCGCCTGATCCCACAGCCTTGTTGGTAACCCTCTGTTGACACCTTTCCTACCAGATACACAGCAGATTCCACAAGGCCTCATGGTTGTCCCAGGAAAGAGCAATTGTCAAATCTGTGATGGCACCTTTTGTCCTTTGCTTGAGTCTATCGCTACCAATGATATGACAACCAAAGATACGGAGCACAAGGTCGAATTTCCAAAATCGCTTTGGAACCACCTGGCATAAATCTACAATGCTCGGATCAGCTACAAATCTGAGGAACTTTACCTTGGTGACGAAGACGTCTTGGGCGCCTTTCGCCATGGAAAATGGAACCCAAATGTAATTGGAATGCATACGTTTTCCATTTTTGGTTTCCTGTTCTTCTGCACTGGTCTGACATTTGGTGGCAATACCTGCCCGTCAAATTTCGAGATTATAGCCTTAAGCCGTATGTCTCTTGCACGCTTCCTCTGGTCACAGAAATCTACAATTTCTCGGGTTCTACGATACCTTCCGGTGATATTGACGTCACCTGAGCCAACACCTGACAAGATCGCACAATTCACCCCAGCGGAAGCCGATTCCATCAACAAAGGTGTCTTCAATCCGGACGGATCTCGGATTCCACCCAATTTTGACCACCATGTGGATGATTGTCTTTATGTCGATGTCGCCAAGACACTGAGACAGACAATAGCCTCCAGTGTTCTGGCTCTCTACTTGATCCTCGGCTTCCTAGATCCTTCAAAAGTGATTCAAGATTGCGTGTCTTGGGAAAAGTTCACCACTACTTTGTCCCATGGTTGACACTGCATTGGCTGGTTGATTGATTCTTGCGCCCTTATGGTGAGCCTCCCATCTGAGAAACGAGATCGTATCATCCAACGGCTCAAAACCTTTCTACAGCAACATCGTCTAACCCTTCAAGAAATCGCAGAACTCCTTGGTCTGCTTTCGAACGCCACTACAGTTTGCCGCCAACAAGGAAAGCACCACCAGGGGTATGCTCATCTGTACTTCCACCGGACGACCACCAATGCCAGATCAAAAGTGGAAAGTCAACGGTGTAGAGAAGACTGCCTGTGTCAACTTCCTCTTCCGAAACTTCCAGTGCACAAATATTCGTTGCACTTTGCTCCATCTCCATATGCGAGTGTTCCAATCTTGTCCTGTTAGCGAACAGGAGTCCTTCAAGACCTGTGTCCAATCGACTCCGAACGTCAAATGGGCTCCTGGGCAGGAACCACGTACCGGTTAGTTTCCTCTTTTTGCTTAAGCAACTTTCTTCTTTCTTCCAATTTTGCTTTCCACTTACTCCTAGTTAATTTCCTTCTCTCTCATGGTTGATTGTTGTTGCCCCACCAAGTGGCGGCCGCATCAGTAAGCACTCTTACCCGGCAGGTCAACTACTATGCGTCTCGGTCCACACCTAAGTCACATTGCGCTGACCCACAGGACGAGTGTGCTCTCCAGGACTATCCCCCAACTCGGACAATTTTTGACAAGCTCAACCCTGCGGACATGCTTGTTGCTGAACAATTCCGCCACATTCTAGAACAGGGCGCAAGGGTAACACCTACCTTTACTCGGTCGGAACAATCCCATTTTCTTTGGGATCTTCCGAGTAGAACTGTTGTCGCTGTGGAGTCCCCATACTGTAAGGATAGTAACGATCGATGCTTCACCACGGAAAGTACATTTTGCCATACATTTGTTTTCCTCTACAAGAGCGGCTACTTGGACACAACGACCGGCAATCGCTTGGGCAAGGCTTTTTCCGGAGCCTCACTTCTTCGTGTGTTACTCCAGAGCCACGAGTTTGTTGACTTTTGGCCACTTTGTTCCGTTCTCCCTTTGGATACACCAATGGGCCAAGTCATGCACTGTTGGAGCCGGATGTTCACCGCCTGTTTATTACATTACAACTTGGATGTAGCCACCGCCGTTCGCTATGTTGGGAACATACATACAGGGGCCCATTGTGATTGGAACGCTTTGGAACCAGAGCTACGTGCGGCATCAGTTGATGATGGTCTTGTTGCAAATTTACGGTGCGTGCTCGTTGACGGATGTCCGAACTATGTCAATGCCACGTTGTCCGAGAAGAATCGGCGATCCTTTGCTGAATATGGAAATCACGACTCGGTTTATACCAATGTCAAAAAAACACAGAAAGCAGTGCAGAAGGATTTCGCCTGATCCCACAGCCTTGTTGGTAACCCTCTGTTGACACCTTTCCTACCAGATACACAGCAGATTCCACAAGGCCTCATGGTTGTCCCAGGAAAGAGCAATTGTCAAATCTGTGATGGCACCTTTTGTCCTTTGCTTGAGTCTATCGCTACCAATGATATGACAACCAAAGATACGGAGCACAAGGTCGAATTTCCAAAATCGCTTTGGAACCACCTGGCATAAATCTACAATGCTCGGATCAGCTACAAATCTGAGGAACTTTACCTTGGTGACGAAGACGTCTTGGGCGCCTTTCGCCATGGAAAATGGAACCCAAATGTAATTGGAATGCATACGTTTTCCATTTTTGGTTTCCTGTTCTTCTGCACTGGTCTGACATTTGGTGGCAATACCTGCCCGTCAAATTTCAAGATTATAGCCTTAAGCCGTATGTCTCTTGCACGTTTCCTCTGGTCTCAGACTTCTACAATTTCTCGGGTTCTACGATACCTTCCGGTGATATTGACGTCACCTGAGCCAACACCTGACAAGATCGCACAATTCACCCCAGCGGAAGCCGATTCCATCAACAAAGGTGTCTTCAATCCGGACGGATCTCGGATTCCACCCAATTTTGACCACCATGTGGATGATTGTCTTTATGTCGATGTCGCCAAGACACTGAGACAGACAATAGCCTCCAGTGTTCTGGCTCTCTACTTGATCCTCGGCTTCCTAGATCCTTCAAAAGTGATTCAAGATTGCGTGTCTTGGGAAAAGTTCACCACTACTTTGTCCCATGGTTGACACTGCATTGGCTGGTTGATTGATTCTTGCGCCCTTATGGTGAGCCTCCCATCTGAGAAACGAGATCGTATCATCCAACGGCTCAAAACCTTTCTACAGCAACATCGTCTAACCCTTCAAGAAATCGCAGAACTCCTTGGTCTGCTTTCGAACGCCACTACAGTTTGCCGCCAACAAGGAAAGCACCACCAGGGGTATGCTCATCTGTACTTCCACCGGACGACCACCAATGCCAGATCAAAAGTGGAAAGTCAACGGTGTAGAGAAGACTGCCTGTGTCAACTTCCTCTTCCGAAACTTCCAGTGCACAAATATTCGTTGCACTTTGCTCCATCTCCATATGCGAGTGTTCCAATCTTGTCCTGTTAGCGAACAGGAGTCCTTCAAGACCTGTGTCCAATCGACTCCGAACGTCAAATGGGCTCCTGGGCAGGAACCACGTACCGGTTAGTTTCCTCTTTTTGCTTAAGCAACTTTCTTCTTTCTTCCAATTTTGCTTTCCACTTACTCCTAGTTAATTTCCTTCTCTCTCATGGTTGATTGTTGTTGCCCCACCAAGTGGCGGCCGCATCAGTAAGCACTCTTACCCGGCAGGTCAACTACTATGCGTCTCGGTCCACACCTAAGTCACATTGCGCTGACCCACAGGACGAGTGTGCTCTCCAGGACTATCCCCCAACTCGGACAATTTTTGACAAGCTCAACCCTGCGGACATGCTTGTTGCTGAACAATTCCGCCACATTCTAGAACAGGGCGCAAGGGTAACACCTACCTTTACTCGGTCGGAACAATCCCATTTTCTTTGGGATCTTCCGAGTAGAACTGTTGTCGCTGTGGAGTCCCCATACTGTAAGGATAGTAACGATCGATGCTTCACCACGGAAAGTACATTTTGCCATACATTTGTTTTCCTCTACAAGAGCGGCTACTTGGACACAACGACCGGCAATCGCTTGGGCAAGGCTTTTTCCGGAGCCTCACTTCTTCGTGTGCTACTCCAGAGCCACGAGTTTGTTGACTTTTGGCCACTTCGTTCCGTTCTCCCTTTGGATACACCAATGGGCCAAGTCATGCACTGTTGGAGCCGGATGTTCACCGCCTGTTTGTTACATTACAACTTGGATGTAGCCACCGCCGTTTGCTATGTTGGGAACATACATACAGGGGCCCATTGTGATTGGAACGCTTTGGAACCAGAGCTACGTGCGGCATCAGTTGATGATGGTCTTGTTGCAAATTTACGGTGCGTGCTCGTTGACGGATGTGCGAACTATGTCAATGCCACGTGTTGGATATATTAGGATTTTCGAAGTACATATTTGGAGAAACGAGAAAATGAGAATACATGTGAACGATAGAGAAATGATGTCGACTGATACGACTAAAAATGAAGACTGATACGACTAAAAACATCGAGCGTGGCGAGTCAGAAAACGAATTATATTTCTATGGAAATCATCCTGTTGATGATGTAAGAAAGCAAGACTCAAGTAAGAGCCAAAGTTGGATACTAATCAAAGTACCGACTACAGTGGAATGTGAACGGATAAACAGATTGAACTTGCAGCATGTCAGGCTGACGTAGAGAGAATTCTAAGAATTTCCACTGAGCTGGAGAAGAAAGAGTCAAAGTCAGAAGTTGACAGACTGTTCTCACTTTTTATAATATATTGCAAGCAACGAGTGAATTGGTTGATAAAGTAGGATCTTTGATTGATCTATATACTTCTATATACTGTAAATTCACATACTTAGAAGGCAACAATACCTGGACAACTAAATCGCAGTCAATTGAAACAGGTAGTTTGCAGGCGGCACTGGATCGCTTACTTCTAACACCACGTTGTCCGAGAAGAATCGGCGATCCTTTGCTGAATATGGAAATCACGACTCGGTTTATACCAATGTCAAAAAAACACAGAAAGCAGTGCAGAAGGATTTCGCCTGATCCCACAGCCTTGTTGGTAACCCTCTGTTGACACCTTTCCTACCAGATACACAGCAGATTCCACAAGGCCTCATGGTTGTCCCAGGAAAGAGCAATTGTCAAATCTGTGATGGCACCTTTTGTCCTTTGCTTGAGTCTATCGCTACCACCGATATGACGACCAAAGATACGGAGCATAAGGTCGAATTTCCAAAATCGCTTTGGAACCACCTGGCATAAATCTACAATGCTCGGATCAGCTACAAATCTGAGGAACTTTACCTTGGTGACGAAGACGTCTTGGGCGCCTTTCGCCACGGAAAATGGAACCCAAATGTAATTGGAATGCATACGTTTTCCATTTTTGGTTTCCTGTTCTTCTGCACTGGTCTGACATTTGGTGGCAATACCTGCCCGTCAAATTTCGAGATTATAGCCTTAAGTCGTATGTCTCTTGCACGCTTCCTCTGGTCACAGGTTTCTACGATTGTTGGGTTCTACGATACCTTCCGTTGATATCGACGTCACCTGAGCCAACACCTGATGAAATCGCACAATTCACCCCAGCGGAAGCCGATTCCATCAACAAAGGTGTCTTCAATCCGGACGGATCTCGGATTCCACCCAATTTTGACCACCATGTGGATGATTGTCTTTATGTCGATGTCGCCAAGACACTGAGACAGACAATAGCCTCCAGTGTTCTGGCTCTCTACTTGATCCTCGGCTTCCTAGATCCTTCAAAAGTGATTCAAGATTGCGTGTCTTGGGAAAAGTTCACCACTACTTTGTCCCATGGTTGACACTGCATTGGCTGGTTGATTGATTCTTGCGCCCTTATGGTGAGCCTCCCATCTGAGAAACAAGATCGTATCATCCAACGGCTCAGGACCTTTCTACAGCAACATCTTCTAACCCTTCAAGAAATCGCAGAACTCCTTGGTCTGCTTTCGAATGCCACTACAGTTTGCCGCCATATGCGCTGTTCTTGCAACGCCTTCTTCGTTTGATCCTCGTTCATCAGTACCGCACCCTCATTGGGTACCACAGGCGGAAGGACTAGGAACTTCAGATCGCTTCTCGACTGTCTTCTATCTTTATCCACCGCATGGATGGAATCTTGAGCCGCAAGATGGCAAAAGTTCTTTGGGGCTCCAAACAATGCTACAAGCTGAGTCCAGCTGCAATTTGAGAGGTCAAGGTGATTATCCACAGCCTACGAACTGAGGAATGGAAGATTTTTATTCCCCAGATGATCCCTCGCGACCACCATTTCGAGTCCTTTGGCGATGCTAGTTTCATTGGGGGTGGTGCTTATTCTACGTCCCTTGACTACTGGTTTTGTGTTGTTTGGAGTAAACAAATTGTGGCAAGTACTAAGTTAAAGCCCTCTGATGCATCCTACATCCACATCAATGTGTTGGAGTGCCTTGTTTTCTTCCTGCATGCAGTGGCCCTTGTCGTTTCCATTGAGTCTTCCACGCTCTCTGCTCCCATAGGTGATTTGTTCCCAACTGGTATTCCGGCGTTCCCAGTCCTTCGTTGTCGTACGGACAACACTGCAACGGTGTCTTGGATCAATGACACACGGACCACCAGTCCGTTGGCTCAAGCCTTGGTTGCGCTCTACGGTCAGCTCTTGAAGAGATCAACTTTGGTTTGCCACACAGTGCACATCCCTGGCGACGACAATGTCCTCGCTGATTGGATTTCTTGCCCCGACTCTCTCTCACATGAACGCCTTTTTATGCAGACATCACAGAAGTATCCTTGGATGAACGCCTTGCGCAATTTCCAGCCCAGTGCCGAACTCATCTCCGTTCTCAGATCCGCGCTGTTATGCAGCTCGAGTCCGGTCCCACCAAATCTACCAGAGTCCTTGGGACAAATCGTTCCTACCGCATCCATTTCCTCCGCTTTCTGCGTCGTCTGAATTGGCCACAGATGGATCTACTGTTGGAGTCCGTCTCACATGATGCCCGCACACACCTTTCTTGCCGCTTTCGCAGTTGACTTGGCGGTGGGCAACACTGTCAAGGGTATGCCCATCAAGGCAGCGACAATTGGAAACTACCTCCGAGATACAGCTACCCTTCTTGAAAACTTCTGTGGAAGAGATCCCCGCTACACAAATCAAGCTGACCATGATTTGGCGCTTCCCATCCGAGCTGTACTGAATGAATGCAAGCGTCATGAGAATATGCCCCATCAAGTTGACCCCTATACAATTGAGATGCATGCCACTTTGGTGGCTCTGAATGCTGCTACAAACGCACATATGGACGGTTTACACTGTGCTATGGAAGATTGGTTTAACTTGAGTACCTATTTAGGTTTTTGCCTTCGCGAATGGGCCCAGGAGGATGATTTCCGTCGCTTGGCTTCCGGTGGCGAGATTGCCCCAAATGGTACAAAACGCGCCTTCACTCTTGATGACATTCGTTTGTTCCATTCGGGTATTCGTCCTTTTTTGATTGATGCCATGGCCCGCTCCAATGTCAAGTTCTCTTGGCAAAAAAATCATGATCACGGTGAAGAAAACTGCTTTCCAGCAATCCCCATAACCCTTCCCTTGATGCTCTGCGGAGTCTCCATAACATCGTCAGCCGATTCGCACGGATTGTCGGTCTGGACAAGACCAATATTCCACTCGCAGTGTACAAAGGTTCCTTTGGTGAAAAGTTTTTCATTCACAGCAAAGTCATTGCTTCTACCCTTTGAACCTTGGCCAAGAAGATTTACAACCTGACTAATCGCAATCTGCAGCGACATTACAAATATACATCCCACTCTCTTTGAGCTGGGGTAGCTGTGATCCTTCACGCCGCGGGTATTAATGCTATCCAGATCAAGTTTCTCTTGCGCTGGCGCTCTGATTCTTTTTTCCTTTACCTTTGCAATGTTGCGCACCTTTCAGAGCAACAAAACCGGGCAATTAACCAACTTGCCTCAGCTACTCAATCTGAAGTGACTGCAGCTTGAGCTGCTTCTCGACTCATACCAAACATTGTTTAGCCACACCATCACATCTACTACTCTCCTCCTATTTCCTTTTATCACTTCATCCCCCTTTCTCCGTTTTCCCTTTCCACTATGTCTTTCTCCCTTTCTTTCCTTCCTTCCTTTTGCTTGCTTTCTCGGGCACTTCCAAGATTAGGAACAACGGAATTTCCTTTGATGTTCCGTTGTCATCAACTATGTCAATGAAACGGCAGGAGTGTGTTGGATATATTAGGATTTTCGAAGTACATATTTGGAGAAACGAGAAAAAGAGAATACATGTGAACGATAGAGAAATGATGTCGACTGATAGGACTAAAAATGAAGACTGATGCGACTAAAAATATCGCGCGTGGCAAGTCAGAAAAGACAATTAATTTCTATGGAGATCATCCTGTTGATGATGTACGAAAGCAAGATTCAAACAAGAACCAAAGTTGGATACTAATCAAAGTACCGACTACTGTGGAAGATGAACGGATAAACAGATTGAGCTTGCAGCATGTCAGGCTGACGTAGAGAGAATTCTGAGAATTTCCACTGAGCTGGAGAAGAAAGAGTCAAAGTCAAAAGTTGACAGACTGTTCTCACTTTTTATAATATATTGCATGCAATGAGTGAATTGGTTGATAAAGTAGGATCTCTGATAGATCTATATACTTCTACATACTGTAAATTCATATACTTAGAAGGCAACAATACCTGGACAGCTAAATCGCAGTCAATTGAACAGGTAGATTACAGGAGGCAGTGGATTGCTTACTTCTAACAATGGTGCCGGACCCCCATTTGGATCTCGGTGAGCTCAGTGTTAATCACAATGATGAAAGCAAGAAGAACTAACTATTTGGCTGATCAAAAGGATTGGAAGGCCAGGAAGAACGTGTTTGATAACAATAAACACAATGAGTCGTAATATATATTCGTGTGATACTCCACAACACGTGTCATATACAAACGAAAATCCCACGATCCACATTTTCGTGTGAAACCAAAAATTCATATACTCAACACAAGCCGTTGAACTTTCTGTGTATCAATCTTCATGTGATTGTTTGAACACATTGAAATAAGCGAATAGTTAACACGATGAATGGCAGTTGAACCTATGAACATGGAGTCTAGCGATCGGAGACGTCACTAAACTCAACAAGTTCTCACTGCCATATTGTCACAATTTTAGTAAATCTGCACTTTTACATCAAACTATTGTCTCTCAAGTTTTATACTTCTATTAAACTACTTCGCTTCAAATACATAACAGCTCTGTCTACAGATATTTTCTGACTGGTTATTACAGCCCAAATCGGATAACCAACAAGAATACAACACAAACAAATCAGGGATCTCAACCTACAAGAATCCTCCACCGGGTGGCACATCGCCTTTTTCCCACATCAAGCGCATAGCTTTCCAAACGTCAACGTAACAGCAGAACCATCCGACACATCAAGCGCATAGCTTCTTCCCAACATTGAGCGCATAGCTTTCCCAAATTAGCGATTGCACCCGAACCAACATTTCCTCGTCGTCACCGAGCGACGACACAACAGGGCACACCGAACCACTTGATCTACTTCACGTCTTCAACAGTGCCATCAACGAAACAGCAGAAACAGAGGGAGCAATCGCACCCAAACCAACCGAACCAGAACAGTCTCCTTTTCTTACTTTACGGCCTCAATCGTTCCTTACGATCCAACCAACCATGGCTCAAGGAGTATATCCACCAACTCCACCAGCTGGACCCACACCACCATCTGGGGCGACAGCACCAACAAGTGGCGTGCTCTTCAGCCCAACAACTCCAACTCTTGGGAACAAGGTCCGCACCAGCTCCAGCACCGAAACCGCTTGGACTGGAGGGAAACCCAATCCGACCCGTACTGGCCTTGATCCTTCAGCTTCCACTACCATGGAACATCCGGGACAGTTGCGTCCCACAGGCTATGAAGCAATGAAAAGCGCCACCTACCGCAGAACGTCTGACCTCGTTTCGATCACCAAGAAGACGAAGATGACTAGATTCAAGAAGGAACTTTGGCAAACTGCAGTCTCCCGAGGACTGGACTCCGTCATGTACCTTCCTCGCAGCGGCGACCAGATCTCCGTTGTGACAAGCTCCGATATGTTCACGAAAGAGGAAGCTGAGCTTGAATACACCAAGATTCTCCCGACGTATGACAGCTACTGCAGATCCAATGACAGGGACGCTGCACACTTACTCATGAACGCCATTGATCCAGATCTTCGAAAGGAAGTTGAACTATTCCACAACACCACTGATGGGTTTATTGTTGTATGGTACGTTCTCCTTCGTCTCCTCTATGACAACAACATCGACCGCAAACGCAACATTGAATCCGAGCTTCGGAAGGTTGCCGTCACAAGCTACCCACAACAGAATGTCAACGCCATTGTTGCCACCTTCCTCAACATGGCAGAAGAACTTGACGATATGGATGACTACAATCACGACAACACCATCAAGATGCTCGACACTCTTTCCTATGCCGGTGGTGGAACCGATCCAAGCAATCCCGACACCCTCTACTTCCGCAGCCAAATTATGACTCTTCGCAGCCGTGTGGACGATGCTCTCATCGCTATCCGAGGACTATCAGCGGCTAGCGCTACCACTTACATGGTGGCACATGATGTTCACTACCGTCAAGTCCTCATGAAAGTCCAAAAGTCTTACCTTCAGCTCTTCAACAACCACAAGTGGCCCCCAGCAAACACCCCTCTCGACTCTCGTACTCCGTCCGCCCTGCAAGCCAACAACGTACTGACCCAGAAGCACCTGAAGGAACAGTTTCGTGCCTTTCTGCTCCAACAAGCACAAGGAAACAACACCAACACCAACACCAACACCAACACCAACACCAACAATAGCAACAACAATAGCAACAACAATAGCAACAACAACAATCGCAATGGTGACCGCACCGGTAACGCACCTCCCAATCCCAAGCGGGTCCAACCCTCAATTGCTAACGGCGACGTTCCTATTGCAACCGTGGACGGGGTTCCACACTTCAGGAAGAACATCAACGGCAAGGACATGGATTGGTGCCAGACTTGCAAACGTTTCACCAACACCCACGCTACTCATCAGCATGGCTCCGGTACCAACACCAACACCAACACCAACACCAACACCAACACCAACACCAACAACCACAACCACAACCACAACCACAACCACAACCACAACAACAGCAACAGCAACAGCAACAACAACAACAACAACAACAACAACGTTGACGTCGCTCCTGTTGCTGTTGTCGAAGGGTTGCCAATTGACGGGTATGTTTGCGATTGTTTCGAATGAGTAACAGAATGGAAACAATGACCGAGGCACCAAAGACAAAACCAATCAGTTTGTTGGTGGGCGATATTTGGTATTCTTGATGATTAATATTGTCTTCTCCTTCATCCGCTTTGGGAGAAAAGAACTTGCTGGTGTTGTTGCTGTTGTTGTTGTTGTTGGTTTCATCATCACCGTCAACAAGTGATGTCTTATTGTTGTTCACCAACCTTGAAGAAGGAGCTTCCGATGGGGATGCTGTGGGCATGAAGTCATTGGGACTTGGTTCGTCATTCTCATTAGCAGTTGATGGTAGAATACTGCTGCTACCATCAGCAAGACTTGGAGTCAAGAGAAAACACGACAGCAGGAATGCGGTGAACATAACCCATGATGATAATGTCGTTGGTGTTCGCTTGAACTTCATGTTTCAATGATAATGCTGATTGCACAGGAAGAGAGCAGATGTAAGTAATGAGAAGATTTGAGCTAGGCTATGGTGCCGTATGGGTGAGGATACTGTGTATGATGAGAGCAGTGCCGTGTTGCGTTGTGTCCTGTGTCTGCACGATACGCACTCTTTCGTTGTTGTTGCGCTTCTCTTAGATGCAAAACTGTAATACCTTCAACGTCACCTCAACATTTCGTGTAGACTGATAAGTAAAAAAATACTTCCACCGGATATTTATTTTGGCACCTTCAACATCGCCAACTACAACTTCTACGTATCCTCTGGTATCACCTCCCAGAATGTGCTTGACGTGATTGCTCCTCCTGCTCTTGTCGAATCTGTCTCTGACGATGTTCACGACGACACCATCCCTATCATCGACCGCAATGCTGTCACCGCTCATCACTGGTGTGTTCCTGTTGACTCCTTTCCCCACTCTCACTCCACTACCACATCTGCACTCGACTCTCCTACTGTTGAGACCGTCACTGACGACAATGACAATGCAACCATCATCCCTACCATTGACCGCGACGACGTCACCATTCAACACTGGTGTGTCCCAGTTGATTTCTTCACCAACTCTGACTCCGCTGCCATGCATGGGCCTGCCGTCAACTACGACTCTGACAATGATGACATGCCTCCTTCCCTCATGGACCGCACTTCGGATCACGAGTCTGACGACGACTCTGTTCTTGATGATTCCTCTTCCGTCCTTCCCCAGGAAACTACGATTCCCACCTATCGCCTTCATCCACCTGCATCACGCCCAGCATCGCTTTGGCGTCCACTTGCCCTACTCCTGCCACCTCTCTTCCTTGGGCTTCGATTCCTCCTTCCGTTTCTTGCTACCCACACCAACCGTGGTTTGTCGCAAGCCTCCATGATGGTCCAAGACTTCCCCATTCTTTCCTTTCTGGCTACCCAGGCCAACCGAGGTTTTCTTCACCTGTGGTCTATTGTCTCCCACCATCCCACTACCATCGCATTTCGCGCCTTTGGCTCTGCCTTCCCTTCCATCTTCGCTGAGCACCGATGTTCCTGGTCCGCTCTACCCTTTTGGCTCTGGCTGGTCCTTGCAGTTTTTATCCTCATCGGACCCCAATGCCTCTGTACCCCTGCCCCTCCCCCTCCCCGCCACGTTCGACGTCATCTTGCCCGCCTGCACCATCGGCAGCGCCGTCCCAAACCCACTATGCAGTTCCCTTCCTTCTGTCATCCACGCTACCAACCTTCGCGCGCCCAGCTTCTTTCCTGATGCCAATGGCGGCGGGTATCCACCGGCCTCAGCGGCTCCAAGGCTTCAGCGATTCCTACCAACCTCAGCCACCTTTATGTCAACTTCCACCGTTGTAAAGCACGCCACCGATGTCAATACAAATCGCAACATTGTCGCCGTTGGATGTCGCCCTACACTCGGAGACTCCGATCCCTTCAGCTACACCAGCTTGCCTCTTCAATGCGGCTCACACAGCTCCGCGCCGGTTTCAAGGCTCAGGCTCAGCATCAACAACATTGCAAACAGCGAGGACTCCTGGTTATCGATCAAATTCACCAGTGGAACTGGCAAACTCAACACAGTCAGCATATGTCGGAACAGCTGTTACAAGGCGACCTCTCTCCCATTCTCCCGGATCTGATCTCGTCCCCTTCCCCAGTTGCCTCTTTCCCCAGCTGGGATGATGACTCCGTCTCCACCAGCTGCTTCAGTGAGATCGATGCGCACGATTCTGATCCTCCTGATCCCACACCTTCCGTCCTCATCAATCAACATGGAACCGTGTCCATCTACAACGCCACCACGACTATTGCTACCTCCATCGCCGAGTTCGCTCAGGATCACCTATTCCTCTCCAAGACATCTGCCAACATGGAACCAGCGTTTCCTGTCATCTGGGACTCTGGAGCCTCGGTGTGTGTCACACCCCACCAGCGTGACTTTGTCGGCACGCTCCACTCCCCTCCCAACTCCAGCACCAAAGGGATCGGAGGCCCCATTGAGGTCACCGGATGCGGACATGTCGCATGGACGTTCAAGACCACCACCAACACCTTCCGTACTTTGATTCTGCCAGCCATTCTAGTTCCCTTGGCCAACCAACGTCTTTTGGGCACCAGCTCCCTCCTTCATTGTCACTCCAAGGAAACCATCTCCCTTTCCTCTGACAGCATGCTACTCTCTGGAACCACTAGCGACGGTGCCTCTACACGACCCATTGCAGTGGACATCTCTCCCACCAACAACTTACCTACCGGTACGGCATACCGCGTCATTGATTCTCCGCAACCAACTCCCGAGGCCCACGCTGACGATGTCACTGTGGCAATCAACAACCTCCACAGTTCCCAAGGCCCAGCTCCGACATCATCTCGCACTGATCGAAACTCTTTCATGATGTCCAGCATTGCCAAAGTCCGTTGCCATAACATCAACCTTGACGACGGTGACAAGGAATGGTTGAAATGGCATCACCGTCTTGGCCACCATTCATTCGCCATTGTACGCTTCTTGATGCGCACCGGAACCCTTGCTAAAAGTCAACGCATGCGGACGCTGCACACCCACATTTCCAAACAAGTTGAACCACCCAAGTGTGCCGCATGTTGCTACGCCAAAGCTAAACTCATGCTCGCGTCAAGGATGCTCCCAGCTCTCTTTGCGCCAACACTCTTTATCCCGGTCAAGAGGTATCCGTCGATCATCTTGTTTCATCTGTTCCTGGCCGAACCTACACTGGCTACGGGAAAGTTCACAAGTCTGAGATGTTCCGCAGATCTGCTATCTTCGTCGACAATGCGACAGGATATATCTTCGTTCAACATCAGAAATCCCTGAACACCCACGAAAAATTACGGGCCAAGGAAATGTATGAGGCGAATTGTCGTGACCTTGGTGTTGTTCCTCAAAAATACCGCAGTGACAACGCTGCTGTCTTCCACAGCCACGAATACAAGCAACACCTTGAAGCCTTCAGTCAAACTCAAAAGTTCGCTGGTGTTGGCCAACACCATGCCAATGGCATTGTCGAAAAGGCCATTCAGGACATTCAATCTACTGCCCGCACGTTGCTCGTTCACCTTGCCATCCGTTGGCCCGAACAAGCCGATCTCGCTCTCTGGCCAATGGCCATCGACCATGCAGTCTTCCTCCACAACCACCTCCCCGATGTCGACACTGGTCTCACACCCATGGACAAATTCTCCCGCCAACGTTGGCCCCACTCCAAATATCACGATATCCATGTGTTTGGATGCCCCATCTACGTTCTTGACAAGAAAATCGCGGATGGTAAGACTCTCCCCAAGTTCTTGCCACGCTCCGAACGCTACGTTCACCTTTGGTTCAGTCCCTTTCACGCAAGCACAGTGGTCCGCAACCCTCGCACCGGTGCCATCACACCCCAATTCAATTGCATCTTTGATGACTGGTTTGTCACATTATCCGCCAACATCGACGATGTCCCCACCTTCATGGAGGAACAGTGGCAGCATCTCTTTGGCGACTCCCAATTTCAATTTCCCACTGATGATAATGATCCTCCTTCCTTGACACCTCAATCTCAAGTCCCCCTATCTTATGAGCCTTCCGCTCTTGGTTCCTTTGAACCTTCCACCAGCCGCTACGCCGGCACCCAACCTACCCTATCTGATCCCTCCGTTTTCTGTGAACCCTCCCAACCTTCGTTTGAGAGGGAGAGGGTGTCAGTTGAGAGGGAGCAGTCTCCTCCCGCCAATATTCCTTCATCCACAAATACTGGCAATCCTACTCCATCACCCCTTCAGAGGGAGCAACAAACTCAGTCAAAGAGTCCCCATAAAACGGCACGCAAAACTCCCATTGACCTACCATCATCATCAATTCCGCCAACATCATCATCCGGACCACCATTGCGACGCAGTACACGATCCACCAGAGGTAAACCGGCTCCCATTCTCGATCCCAACCCCCATTCTAAGACCTACGTCTCCAAACCTTTGCCATCCTCCAACTTGGCCGAGATCAATCCATCAAACGATCCCGACTTCAATGACACCGAAAACCTCCATTCGTTCCCAAAGGACACTCCATTTCTTGCCAACGAGGATCTGGTATTGACCACCAGCCATCCTTCATACAGACGATTCAAGACTCAACCAGAGTCAGATGATGGTGGTATTTGTGGATTCTATGACCTCCATTTCTCCTACCTTGGCTACACCACCACAAACACTCCCAAATTTGTGTTTCTTGACAGCAAGGCACCACCTGATTCGATCGAATTTCTCAAAACTGGCACCACCGACCCTGATATTTTAAGCTGGGATGAAGCTATGGCTGGTCCTGATCGAGACAAGTGGCGTGAGGCTGCCTTGAAGGAGATCAGAGCACTCGAACACAAGCGCACATGGTTGGAAGCCCCAGAATCCAATGCCACAGTCAGAGTAATTCCTGGCACTTGGGTTTTTCGAGTCAAACGCGCGCCAGATGGATCCATCATCAAATTCAAGGCCAGATGGGTATTACGAGGTGATCTTCAGGACCTGGACATGGACACCACCGCTGAAGTCGTCGCTTGGTCCTCGGTCCGCACATTTATGGTCCTTAGTCTCAAGCTTGGATGGGTCATGAAGTCGATCGATTTCACCAATGCCTTTCTCCATGCCAAACTACCAGACAATCTGGAAATGTTTGCTCACCTACCAAGAGGCTTCTACTCTAATATGAGAAGTATCACTGGTGAACGAACAGTACTACACCTCAAGAAGTCTGCATATGGGACAGTTATTGCGCCAAGGCTATGGTACAAACATTCAATGAAGGCATTTCACAAGCTTGGATTTGAAAGCTCCTCCTACGATAAATGCTTCCTTATTCGCAAAGACATGATGATTGTCGTTTATGTCGACAACTGCGGTATCAGCACTGACAAACCAGAGAAAATCGATGAACTTGTCAACCAGCTGAAAGAAAAGGGATTTGATTTGGAGATTGAAGGCGACTTTGAAACGTTTCTTGGAGTTTAAATTCGCCAGATGAAGGATGGTAGATACCACCTCCTTCAAGAAGGGCTCATCAAGAAGGTGCTCGAAGCCGCCAGGATGACCGACTGCAGTCCCAATCACGTTCTGGCTGCACCAACCCCACTAGGAAAGGACCCTAACGGAGAAAGTTGGTCCCAACATCCCTGGCGCTACAGCTTAATCTACCTCTGCACAAATACTTGCCCAGACATCAGCTATGCAGTCTCCTGTGCGGCCCGCTTCAACAGCAATCCAAAAGTCAGCCATGCCACCGCCGTCAAGACAATCCTTCGTTACCTCAAGAAGACATCCGACAAAGGGTTGATTGTGAACTTTAATGGGACTCTTGACCTTGAAGCATACTGTGATGCAGATTTTGCAGGACTGTTCAAATCTGAGGCTCCATATGATCCAGCAGTGTCTCGGTCTCGTGGCGGATATATCATTTTCCTTGGAGGAGTTCCTCTCATTTGGAAAAGCTCGCTCTTATCGTGCATTACTCTCAGCACTCTCGAGGCTGAATATGTTCAACTTTCTCGCTCCATGACGGTTCTTCTGGGGCTCAAGAATCTAATCGAAGAACTTCTTCCACGGCTCCAACTTCCAAACTTGACCGCTTTTGTTCGCTCCATCATCTTGGAAGACAATGCTGGTGCACTACTTCTCGCTATCGGTCAAGGAATCACCAATCGCACCCGCTATCTGAGCCAGTTCTATCATCATTTCTGGTCCTTTGTCCATCGCCCTCAAGATGGCCCTCCTCAAAACAATCCCAATGGTCCTTGGCATGACGGAAAAATCAAAGTATCCAAGATTACCACTGACAAGCAACGAGCAGACATCTTCACTAAAGGTCTGACTCGAGTTCCATTCAAACGCAACCGTTTCTCCATCAATGGATGGTAATCATTCTCTCTTTGAGAGTCTCTCTTTGAGAGTCTCTCTTTGAGAGGGAGAGTCGGAATATATATTCCGATAATTGCATGACTCGGTGTTGTCGTGAGAAGATAGCTGTAGCGCATTCTCCTCCCGTCAATTTCCAAATGTACGGTAAGAAGGAATCATGGGAAAGATTCATGGCCAACGGGTTTCTGTATAATTCCAATAGAGCCAAGTATCAATCAAGAATCGATGGAATGATGGCGCAGTACACATTGAAGCATCTGGATTTCAAACAACGTTGTACATTTCCAACTACTTTGGAAAATGCTGCTGATGTTTTGAATCAACACAAGCACGATAACAGGAAGAAGAATTTGAATGGAGGAAATTCGAATGGACAAGGCAAACAAAACAAATCAAACAACAATCAAAATGACGGAGCTCAGTTTTCGCAACAACAACTCGAGCGTGTTTTGTATGCGGATTAAAAGATCATGTCGCACCTCAATGTGCGGACAATTTGATGCCGCAGGAAAAGTGGAAAAGCCCGGACAAATATAGGGATTATTAGGACAAGAATGGTCGTGGTAATCAACAAAATATGCAACATGATGAAAATGCAACACGTGATGATAATGAATCAGGAGATTCAAATACTCAATGGAACTATGGACGTTCCAACAATGGATCCCATGGAGGACAATTTATTCAACAAGGACATACTGACAATCATCCAAGACAACAAGGGATGATGTTATTTCAACACAACAATACTGGTATCCACTTGGATAGTGGATCTACTTTTCATTTGCGAACCAATGAAGGTATTCTAAAAGATTTTCACAAATGGACGGATGGAAGAGGATTTATATTTGATGAAGTTCCTGCTGGAATGGAACTAGATGAAATTCACATAGGACCTAATAATTTAAATGATGATATGGAAGGGTACTGTGCTCTACAGAGTGTGGAGAAGAACAAAGAGGGTTTCACAAACAAACAAGTGAAACGAACAAATATTGCACAAAGTGGCTATCATATGATGGGAGCACCTGGTGCAGAACTATTCAAGTTGGCGATTTGGGGAAATTTTTTCAAAAATTGTCCAATTACGGAGGAAGATGTTAATATCTCTGAAAAGATATATGGACCGAGCGTTTCAACAATTAAGGGCAAACAAAAGCGACCAACACCAAAGGCGGTGGTTGGTGATTGGATTGAAATGCCCAAGGAACTCCTGAAACACAATTCATACCTGAATTTATGCATTGACGTTATGTTTATCAACAATGTCGCGTTTTTGTCAGTATTGACAAAGCAATCAAATTCCGATTCTGTACTGGACTGAACTGAAAGATTGGACAAAAGATGCTATCTACAAGTCAATTGACAAAATTTTACGCATTTATAATCATGCGGAATTTTGAATCAAAACTATTTATTGAGACAACAAATTCAAACCAGTATTTGATGACGTGAAAGATAACATGGATGTGACCATGAATTATGCCACGCCGGGCGAACACGAACCAACTATTGAGCACAGCAATCAAACATTGAAAGGATTATTCTGAGCACACTATCATCGAATGGTGTTCAAAGCAATTCCCAAGGTTTTGACTATTGCTTTACTCAAGCATGTGACAAAGGTTAGTAACTTTTATCCTGCAAAGGAGGGAATTTCGAAATATTACAGTCCACATATGATTGTGAGACGAAAACCGGTGGATTTTTCAAAAGAATGTGTTGCTGAAATTGGATCCTTTGTACAAGGATATGGTCACATGACCAACAACAGTCAACAATCAAGAATGATTGATGGTATTTATCTTGGGGTGAATGACAGCATATGTTACTTGATCTTAATACCAAAAAAGGCAGTAACAAGACCCTATGCAACGGTACTTCTGATCACCAAACAAGTGATCAAAATTGTGGAACAAATGGCACACGACAAGGGCGTTTGTGATTTGCGTACTTATCATTGGAAGAATGGTGAAATCATATTGGATGGTGATTTGCTTGCAGGAGTGGACCCAGATGAACTATTGGATGATACATATATTCCATGCAAAAATGAATACAAACGAAGCGATGAGAATCTTCGTAATGAAACGATTGATCAAGATGAAATCGATGCTTTACCTGAAGAAGCGGAAGAATTTATTGAAAACTATGATGATGAGCACACCAAAAATGTCAAAGAACAGACAGAAGACAGGAGTGTTGCAAGTATTTATGAATGATCGAGATGAAGAATTGATGATGAAAATTCCGATCAAGACCCCAATCCAAATGACAAATATCAGAATGATGAGGATTTAAATAAAAAGATTCAAGAAACTGAAGAATACATTCAAAAGGACATAGAAGATATCAAATCACTTAACGATGAAGAACAAGTCAAAGAAAAATGCAAAACATATAAGGAAAATGACAATTTAATTGATCGAATTCAAGATGAAATCAAAGAATGTGAAAATCAAGTCAATGATGTTCACAAATTTGTAACAAATTTCGATGATAATGAAAATTATGAATCTGACGATAGTTCGGACAAATCAAGTAACTATGATAATTGTGAAAATGATGAAGTGAATAAACAGGACATATTCAGTCCAAGGAAAACCAGGAGTGGTAAATCTTATGTTCAAGATGGAATAAAAATGAGACCAACCAAACGTAATAATTGCGATCAACCAAGGTATAATCAACAATACCTGAATCAAAAGAAACCAAAGTGCAATTTGTTAAAGAACAGGAGTGCAATGAGAAAAAAGGAAAAAGTCAAAAAATTGAAAGGTTATTCGAATGAAATAATTTCAATGAAGGAAAATTCAAGGAAAAGGATTCTCAAAAAAGAGTCAAAATACAATCTACTATTCCAACAGGTTGGAAGTGACAAGAAAGCCAAATATGGAAGAGATAAGGCAACTCTGATTGCGTGATTCATGCAACAAATCAAGGATAAAGTTCAAAATGAAGGAGTATTGTTTATCCAACAATACTACCTAAATAAGGGAGTGAAATTATTCAAAGAAGAAGGTAATAAGGCTGTGATGAAACAGCTTGACCAATTGATACAAAGAGAATGTCATGTTGAAGACATGACTGATTTGGAAAAAAGAAGAGCCCAAGATGCTATGATGTTATTAGCTGAGAAAAATACTGGTGAAATAAAAGGAAGATGTGTATACAAAGGAGATGGAACTCGAGAATGGCTATCTCCAGAAGATACTTCAAGTCTGACTGCAGCATTGGAAGCAATTATGATCACATGTGTGATTGATGAGTATGAAGGACGAGATATGATGTCTTTGGAAATTTCAAATGCATTTATTCAAACTCAAATGCCAATGGATGCGAGATCCAGAGTGATGATGAAGATCACTGGATTATTGGTCGACATGATGATACAACTGGAGCCAAGGTATTGTGATTATGTTGTAATTGAAAATGGAAAACAAGTGATTTACGTGAGAGTGTTGCGAGCCATCTATGGGATGTTAGAGGCCTCTATGCTCTGGTACAAAAAGTTGAGAGGAGACATGGAGAAACATGGTTTTATTTTCAATCCATACAATGGATGTATTGCCAACAAGATTGTGAACGGCAAACAACAAACTATTCAATTTCATGTGGACGATCTGTTATCAAGCCACATCGATCCAAAAGTGAATGATGATTTTTGTGAATGGATGAATCAAAAGTATGTTTTGACCAAACCAGTCAAATCTAAGCAAGGAAAAACTCACAAATATTTGGGAATGATCCTGGATTTCAGTTAAAGGGGGAAAGTCAAAGTCCAAATGGATGACTATGTTAATCGAATGTTGAATGAATTTCCCTTGAAGTGTTCAAGGAAAATGAAGGGTGTAAGACACCAGCAAGTAATGATTTATTATCAATCGGAAAAGGAGAAAAATTGGATGATGAGAAATGTGAAACTTTTCATACATTCATTGCCAAAGGATTGTTTCTGAGTAAGAGAGCGAGATTGGATATTGCTCCAACTATTTCAGTACTTTCTACAAGAGTACAGAGTACAGAAACCAAACGAAAGTGATTGGAAGAAGCTAGTGAAGCTGATGTATTATCTGAATGGAACAAAGGGAATGCACCTGATGCTGAGTGCAACATATTTACAAACTTTCAAATGGTATATTGATGCATCATTTGCAGTTCATCCAGATTTCAGAAGTCACACTGGAGGTGTATTGACTATGGGTGAGGGAGGATTGCAAATAATCTCAAAGAAGCAGAAGTTGAACAGTCAAAGTTCGACAGAAGCTGAATTGATTGGTGTCGATGATGCTGCGACACAGATATTGTGGACAAAATTGTTGGTGGAAGCACAAGGTTATCCTGTTGAAGAGAACATCTTGTATCAGGATAACAAGAGTTCAATTCTGTTAAAAAAGAATGGACGTGATAGTGCTGGAAAGCAAAGCCAAGCTTTGAACATTCGATATTTCTCTATGACTGATCAAGTCAAGAAAGGAAATGTGACTATTGAATATTGTTCAACTGAAAAGATGTGGGGAGATTTCATGAGCAAATCTCTACAGAGACAAAAGTTCTTGGATTTTAGATCATTGATCCAAGGAGAACAAGATTAGGAGCAACGTAATTTCCTTTGATGTTCTGTTGTCATCAACTATGTTAATGAAACGGCAAGAGTGTGGATTTTCGAAGTACATATTTGGAGAAACAAGAAAAAGAGAGTACATGTGAACGATAGAGAAATGATGTTGACTGATACGACAAAAAATGAAGAGTGATGCAAATAAAAATATTGTGCGTGGATAGTCAGAAAACAGATCATATTCCTATGGAGATCATCCTGTTGATGATGTAAGAAAGAAAGACTCAAGCAAGAACCAAAGTTGGATACTAATCAAAGTACTGGCTACAGTGGAAGGTGAACGGATAAGCAGATTGAACTTGCAGCATATCAGGCTGACGTAGAGAGAATTCTGAGAATTTCCACTGAGCTGGAGAAGAAAGAGTCAAAGTCAAAAGTTGACAGAATGTTCTCACTTTTAATAATATATTGCAAGCAACAAGTGAATTGGTTGATATAGTAGGATCTCTGATAGGGCTAGGACTATATACTTCTATATACTGTAAATTCATATGCTTAGAAGGCAACAATACCTGGACAGCTAAATCGCAGTCAATTGAACAGGTAGATTGCAGGCAGCAGTGGATTGCTTACTTCAAACAACAAGTTCAAGGATGACATCTTTGAAGCCGTTCTTGCAACAGGATTTCTGTGCAACTGCAATCAAACATGTATGTGGCAACAAAGACCATATGTCGCCAAAATGCCCAGACAGACTGCTACCAAAGATCCAATGGAAGAATCAGGACCAATATGTCGACCATGGGAAGAAGCTCAATTTTAACCAGATTGGAGCAACTGTCCCAGCTACTGTTCCAGCTATAGTTCCTGGAGCTTCAGCATCCACAAGTGGAGCATCAAGTGTTGTGGGAAGCGTTAACACCTTTGCGACTTGCTGGTAATACAGGTAATCAAATGATGCAAATTCCTTTGGGAATGCAGCTCATGCAGATTCCAACTCAAGGTGGCGGCACTGTTACTGTCCCTTATTCTATGAATGCTAACGGTGAGATTGCGTTCAGTGGAATGCAACTCGGCCATCAAGGATTCAGTGGTGCTCAAGTGCGCCAAGGATTCGATGCAACTCAAGCTCAAACTCCGCAAGCTGTGAAAACTGGATATTTTGATACGTCAAATGTCTTACACGATGCTATCAAGGGAAAGGATGAGAATGGCAATGATGTATATCTTATTCCATGTCCTGCTGGTACGACAAATGTCAAAGTTCAAGCCGACTGGCACTATGCTAGTGAAAATGAAGATTTGCCTGATCTTGCTACTGAAGCAGATCGAGGTCTGCAGTTTATCCAAAGCCGCAGAAAGGAAGGAGATCCACTTGGGTTGTACGATCATGTCATCATGGACAGTGGTTGCACAAACACCACTATTTGTAATGGTGAGCTTATGCATGGACTCCGTTATGCTGAGAAGGAGCTTGATATGCACACTAACATGGGCAGCAGAGTTCTTGACAAAGAAGGGTTTCTAGGAAGATTTCGCCTCCAGTTTGTCATGATGAAGATGGAATTGCCAATGTACTTGCTATGCGCGAGATGATTGCTGCAGGATACCGCATTACTATGGATACTGATGCTGACAATGCTTTTATTGTGCATTGGATGGAAACAGAAAGATGCGATTTGTGAATCATAAGGGTGTGTCTGTGTTGGAGCAACATGGAGCAAATGTCAAACCAGGTGCCAAAGAGACAAGTGCAATGTACCGTTGCCAGTTAAGCAACTTAAATAATCAACCCCATGTCGAACTTTCTTCAAACAAACAGAATGTATATGCTGGACTTGAGATGACCTCCAAGATGGCTACCGTTTGAAAGAACAAAGAAGGGTTCACTCCAAGACAAGTCAAGGCTGCGATGAAAGCGAGAAGTGCGATGCACATACTCAATGCTCCAAGCACCAAAAGTCTGAAATATGCGATCCGATCTGGTCTCATCAAGAAGTGTCCTATCACCGAGGAAGCGATCAATCATGCCAAAGCAATCTTTGGACCTGACGCCTCTACATTGAAAGGCAAGTCAACAAGATCAACTCCGAAGAAGACGTACGACGACTTCTTCAGTCCACCAGAGGAATTGTATCAACATAATTGATCTATTACCGTCTGTATTGATACATGGAGATCGAGAATGCTAAGTTTCTCACCTGCGTTGATACCACTGTGCGTTATCGCTCATGTATTCACGTGCAGAACCTGAAGACCCTGTATTTGAAGCATTGGATGTAATATTCCGCCCCTACAACAAGGCAGGCTTTCAAGTCAAGATGATCAAGTGTGATCGGGCTTTCATTCTTCTCACGGATGATATGCTAGACAATATGGGTGTTACTATTGACCTGACTGCAGCTGGAGACCACGAGCCTACCGCTGAGCAAAACAATAGGACGCTGAAAGAAAGAGTCCGAGTAGCTCTTGCACAATTACCCTACAAAGTGGTCCCAAAAGTGATCACTGAATGTCTTGGACGTTGAGCCGTCGTGCTATTGAATGTCTTTCCCCAGAAAGACAGTATCTCATCACATTTTAGTCCGCAGCAACTCATTGATAATGTCAATATCAACTGCAAGAGTGACATGGTTGCTGAGCTTGGACAATATGTTCATGCAATTTGGACAGATTCCAACAATTTGATGGAACCCCAAAGTATCGAAGCAATTTACATTGAACCTACAAAGGGACAACGTACTGGGCACCGAGTGCTCAACCTCAATACTAATAAGATGATTTCCCGACCCAAGGTCGTTGTACTACCCGTTACCGACCAAGTAATCCAGCGTGTTGAAGCTTGGGCTGCTGCCAAAGGTGTTACTTCCATGAAGTTATTCGATACGAAGAGAGATTTGGAGACATTTCAAGATGGCAATCAAATTGCAAGAGTGAATGACACGGAACAAGGTTACTTAGAAGAAGCCTTTGATCAGGACTATGAACCTGAAGAAAGTATGAACGTGATTTCAATCTAGGTGGACAATTTGATGATATCAATGACTCCAAAAGAGAAGAGCTATTGGCAGATGCAGACAATGATGTCAATGATATGCCAGAACTCACTGTCAGATTCCAAGGAGATGATGACTATGAATCAGATGACGACAATTTGGATGATGAACGTGATGAAGAGGAAGAACCTATTGTGGCCAATTTGGATCACCATCAAGAAAATGCCAATAAAGGAACCGATGATATTGGGAGCCTTGTTGCTGATCTGGAGGACCTACAAGAGCCGCCAGAAGAAGAGATTGTATTTGAGCCTGAAACACCTCAAGTAGCAACAGTCACTTGATCTGGGCAAATGTATGCTGAACCTTTCTCAAGTTCCAAAGAAACCAAGAGAATGGCCTTTGAGCAGGAGTGAAAGGAGTTCTGCCAATAAGAACAAGAATCGAGTTGCGACAAGATGCAATCATCGAGAGAGAGGGAATTGAAACCATTGAAGAACAATTTGAAATCTGGTATTTGTGCCAAAGAAGGAAGTCGCAGTACTAAGGACAGTAAAGCTATCCTTGAAGCACAGCACAGTCTATGTTTCCAACAGATTGGGAATGAGATGAAAGCTGATTATGAAGAGCACGATGCTATTCTGATCGCTTGTTGCATGATGCAGATCAAGGCCAAGTTTGATACTGACGAAGGTCTGAACTTCATCCAGCAGTATTACACCAATCAAGGACTGAAGAAGTTTGGTCATGATGGAAAGGATGCTGTGGATAAGGAATTGAGACAACTGCTCCTGAGAAATTGTTTCACTCCCCAATTTGTTAAAGACACGACCGCGTCTGAGCAAAAGAAGGCCCAATCAGCAATGATGTTACTCACAGAGAAGCAATTCGAGAAGACAATTAAAGGTTGCCTAGTATACCAAGGCGATGGTACTCGTGAATGGTTATCACAAGAGGACACTGCAAGTCCAACTGCTTTGCAAGAAGCAATCACCACTACTTGTGTTATTGCTGCACACAAAGGTAGAGATATAATGTCGATGGACGTTCCTAACGCTTTCATTCAAACTTATATGCCTGAAAATCACTGGCATGATGGTCCAGATATTAATTGACATGGCCCCAGAGTACTGCAAATACGTTGTTTTAGAGAACGGAAAGCGAGTAATCTATGAGCGGGTACTACGTGCTATATATGGGATGTTGCAATTGAGCCTCCTATTCTATAATCAGTTTCAAAGTGATTTGGAGGCAAAGGGATTTGTTTTCAATCCGTATGACCTGTGTGTTGCTAACAAAGTTGTTGATGAAAAACAGCAAACTATCAGATTTCATGTTGACGATTTTATGTCAAGTCACATGGACCCAAAAGTGAATGACAAATTTGCTGAGTGGTTGAACATGAGATATGGTTCGATCAAGGCATGCACAATCGTAAGAGGAAAGATACACAGATATCTTGGAATGACTTTGGATTTCTCGGTGAAAGGAAAACTCAAGATCCGCATGGACGACTATGTCAAGAGCATCTTAGAAGATTTTCTTATCAAGTTCAACAAGGAGTCAAAGCAGGAAACACCAGCTGGTAACGATTTACTGGAAGCTGGTAAAGGAAAGCTACTCAGTGCTGAGTACCATCAGATCTTCCATACTACTGTTGCAAGGGGACTTTATGTCTCTAAGAGAGCTAGTTTGGATGTCCATCCAACGATTACTATTCTTGACTTGAGAGTTTGAGAGCCTACAGAGTCTGATTGGAAGAAGTGTGTTTGCATGAAGCGATATTTGTTTTGTACATTGTTGTATCACCTGACACTTTCCGCAGAATCACTACGAGTCATGAAATGGATGATCGACGCATCATTTGCGGTGCATCCAGATTTCAAGAGCCATACTGGCGGCACTCTGTCCTTTGGAGGAGGTGCAGCTCAAGTGATGTCAAAGAAGCAAAAGCTAAACAGCAGAAGCAGTACGGAAGCGGAACTGATTGCTGTTGACGATGTTGTCACGATGATACTATGGACAAAGTTGTTCATGGAGTGGCAAGGGTGTCCGATCGAGAAGAATATCTTGTATCAGTATAACAAAAGCGCGATTCTACTGGAAGAGAATGGTCGCAAGAGCGCGGGCAAAAGAAGCCGAGCTATCAATATTCATTATTTCTTTATCACAGATCAAGTTGAGAAAGGAAATGTTAAGATTGAATACTGTCCAACTGACGATATGATTGCGGATTTCATGACTAAGCCATTGCAAGGTGAGAAGTTTCGCAAGTTCAGGGATCTGATTCTTGGTCCACAGGAATAGGTCAGACAAGTATGTATATTCAAATGAAAATACAAAACAAAATAAACAGTGAATAAGAGCATGTCCCATTGCTGCCAATGGTGATTGTCACAATGGCAGGAGTGTGTTGGGATATGACGAAATATGAGTTTTTACGTTCCAAAAAGAAACTATTCAAGTACAAAGTTTTTGACACTTACGATCGGACTGTGATCGTGATGTCGGGATTTGACGCAAGTACACGTTTAGACCTGTTTAACAAAAGTAGGTATTTTACACTTTCAATGTGAAATAATTAGGGATTTTACACATTGATTTCACTATGAGATTGCTGTGTAAATCCTACAGTACCTAATAGTCTTTGGGTCATATGGTAAATTTTTAAAGCTTGAAGGGTGAAAGCGACAGTATTTTAGATGAAATGAATTGTACATTGTCTACACAACAATGTCAGAGTTGAATAAAAGTGTTAAATCCCAAATTATTTCAAATCAAAAGTGTAAAATGACTACTTTTGTTAAACAGGTCTAAACGTGTATGCCGGACGCAAGTCTGTCTGACAATCTATATCCACACAAAAAGGAATGACCTTATACAAGTGGGATATCGATGTTGTGTACGATGCAGTAGGGAATAATACAAGATGTCCCAAAGCACTGCATTCAACACAGAATCATCGTAGAAGTTGAATGGAGTTCTGTAAACAAGGGATTTTCCAAGGGAAAATCGTTGAACTCACTTTTGTGATTGAATCATCGGTTCAAGCCAAACATTATTCAAATAGGAACAATTTCACTCAAAGTATACCTAACACAGGAGACCTATTGTCGTGAAAGTGTTGTATAGTTGATTCCAAATTTAGATTGCAGAGAGTTTGTTCTGAGCGCTAAAGGCACTCACAATAGAGCACATTTTGCTTTATTCTAACAAATAATAATTGGAAGTCACTTTAAATATGGAGATAACTTACCCAACCTTCACAGAAGAGTCTTATTGAAAATTATAGATGCCTTTGGAAAGGCACAGGCAAAGTGGTGCCTTGGAAATCATGTTTCCCGTGTGGGACTTGGAAACTTCTTGTATGGCGATGGCCACGTCGACCCATGTCTTCACTATCGTTGAATCATCGATCTTGATTTTTAGAGGCATGTCTATTGTACTGTTCAAATACGAGAGAACCCTTCAGAGTTTCCCCCAATCTTCTACAGAGGCCTTTTGTTGATGTTGCAAACGCTCACAAAACGTTTCTCATGTGCATCGATGCCAAGCGACAGTATCATTCCTTTGCAGGAGACAGTTGGAGAATATACGGAGTCAGGATCTGTCCATTCCCTCTGGGGGCGGCCGTCTGCAACTACTCTACCCTTTAGTCGACCGTCACATTTTTCTTTAATTAGGGCTATTGTTTGTAGGGCCTTCTCTCTCTGTTCTTGTGTCAGTTTGTTAAACATTTTTCCTTCAATGAAGTCCTTTTTGTGAAGATTGTGCAAAAGCTCTTAGACTAGCTCAGCAATTGCCAGCTCACCATGCTTCTCTATTCCTGATTTTGCACGTTGAATGTTTGATTGCCTAACATTAGGTGCATATAACGGTGCACATCTGCGGTGTTTTGCAGTTTCTCTGGCACATAGCGCCACCAGTACTTCCTGTCGTCGCGATACGCATTTTCTAGGATTTTTGCTAGGGCAAAGCGTCCGATTCGTTGAGGGACACTGCACAACAACTGTCGTTCTTTGGCCACGTGTGCTAGCGCCACGTCATTGCGCTTGTATACTATAGATGATGAATCGCTAATGTCAAGACTGTCATTTTCTATTTGTCCCTCCATATCATCATGGAACAGGGGTTGTTCTTCTGGAGGGTTGAACGTTACCTCTTCTTCCAGGTATTGCGCTCCTGTTTTTTTGCTTGGCTCAACTTCTAGATATTGTGCTCCTGTTTCTTCGCTTGGTTTAACTTCATTTGCTCCTGCTTCTTCAGGGTCTTGCGCTCCTATTTCTTCAGGGGGTAGGGGAAACTCCTCGAGGGCTTCTAAGTACCGCCCCGTTTGATTAAAACGATTGTTCATGGCATGATCCAGTGGACGCTGCGCCATGGCGTGGACTCTATGGCCGCCGCTCGGTTGATTGCACGTTGCATGCGCGCTGTGACGTCAGCTTTGGTGTTGTTTTCGTTGGTATCATTATCGTTATGCAACGATGTCAATGGGGTCTGCAGTAGCTGTGTCGACTCGTTAGGGTCATGTTCCGCTGCGTCCTCCAAATCCGCCACCAAAAACGCAGTCTCATTTTCGTGCTGCTCTTCTGCGTGCTCTTCTTGAGCACCTTTGTCATTACTATTTGGTTGTTCTAGGGCGTCGCTGCCGTCATCATCATCGCCGTCGTCATCATCGCCACTGTCAGCTTCATCGTCATTGTCATCATCAGCATTGCTGTCTTCGGACGAATCGGCTTGGTCGTCGTCAGAAGAGGCAGACGAATTGTCTTGGTCGTCGTTATTGGACGAATCGTCTTGGTCGTCGTTTTGGGGGACCGCTCCTCCAGGGGGAGGGAGCAACGCGATATCAACCTGGTCATCATCCAAATCGAGGATGGGAACGTTCGGCCGCCACTCATGGAGGAAAGCATCCGGATCTCCATCGGCGTTGACACCAAAGATAACGTCGGTGGTCGTTGGAAGGACAGTCCATGCACCACGGACGACGGTGTGACCGGTTTGGAGGGAGAGGAACTCCCAGGTACCATCAAAATTCGGGGTGGGGGTGAGAGCAATCCCAGAGGTCGTACGGACGGTCTCTGTGTTCATTGGATCAGGCTCGTTGTGGACTTCGAAGCTTACTGTGCTTCTCATAGTTTGTGTGCTGGCCCTCAAGTAGAGCAAGTGGACTAAAACCCCCCGACACGCCATCAGCGTTAGGGAGAATGTTTATATACCTGGCAGATTCTTTAACTATAGCTGTTTTTAGTGCACGTGGATAATAGGTATGGCTCAAAAGTGGATTTGTTTGGGGGATGGACGAAGAAGGATGTCCAAATAAACAATCCAGCTTACAAAAAACGGGAGGAAGCATATCCAAGATTATTTTTTATGCTCCTCCCTCCCCTAGTTTCTTTCTAGGTTTGTCACTGGAAGATTCCGTTTACGGTCGGAAACAGACGTACCCAGTAAGATACGGTACTTACGTACCCATCATACTTTAGGCCCAACAGACTTTAGTCATTTCTCCAAAAAATCGCGCTTTTTTTGGAAAACAGCAAGAACAAAATGATGTTTAGACCAGTTGAAGTTCAAGAGGATTATAGATTGCTGACGGAGCTGCTGCTTTTCCTTCTCCCTTAATGTGATGCTACCATACTTTCATTGTTTGTGAAGCAGAGCAGCAGATTCTTTCTCCGACCATGCAAATGATCTAGAGAGTAAAGCAGTTCTGGAAGAATCACCATGCGTTTCAAGGGAAATGCAGTTCCCTACTGTCAACAATCAGCCTTGGGATGCCACATGAATTGCATAGGAATCAACATAATGCCCTCTATTCAGCGCTGCCAACAAAAATCTTCTTGTTGGATTCATTCATAGCAAAGGAGGAGTGGTGCCAATTGCTCATCATTTTGCCACGAAGATGCACCAGCAGTTGTGAGGATATGCAGACCAAGATTATAAATGAAGCTACTCCTAGAACAGATAAGTATTTGTGATTAAATAGAGCTCTAGTTTAATGCATTTTGATTTTTGTTGATTTGAGACGCTTGATGTTGTTGTCGATGTTTTTGTCTTGGAGGATGTCTTATTTGATATCAGGGAGATAAATGGGAATATAATGTTTGAAACAAGGGAATATCATGTTTGAAAAAAGGGAGTGTCATGTTTGACGGGATTATCCTGTTTCAAGCAGGGAATACCATGTTTCAAGCGGGTAATACCATGTTTCAAGCGGGGAACACCATGTTTGAAATGTGAGACTGTCATGTTTCAAGCGGGGAATACAATGATTCAAGCGAAGAATACGATGTTTCAAGCGGGGAATACCATGTTTCAAGCAGCGAATACCATGTTTGAAAAGTGAGACTGTCATGTTTCAAGCGGGGAATACGATGTTTCAAGCGGGGAACACCATGTATCAAGCGGGGAATACGATCTTTCAAGCGGGGAATACGATGTTTCAAGCGGAGAATACCATATTTCAAGCAGGGAATACCATGTAGCTATCTTGATAATTGCTATCACGATTGACGAAGAAGACAGGGCTTGTACTAGATTGGCTTTCTGCTATATTATCGCTAGTCCTTCTTGCCAAGTTCTAGTTCTGAATATGTATTCGAAAGAAAAATAATCAAAATACTAGATCCATTAGTCAAAACTATAGTTCATTGTGACTGAAGTCAGAAATATATACAGCTTGGTGTCTGATTACAGACTTAACCGATGGGGCGTCGGGGGGATATCCCCATATGGGGATATCATAATTATAACTTCACGCAAGAAATGTACCAATAATTCGTAGACGGAAATATTCAAAAACATCAAGTTTTCATACTAGGCACAGTAGCAATTGAAAGATTGCTAAAGAGATATTATGAGCTTCATGGAGAACTACTTCCCTGGGCAGAATGCGATAGCCATACTGACATCAGAAGAGAAGGTGTGTACTGGATACACACAACTTCCACTGCAGTCTTGATAAGAATGTATTTGTCAGGCTGTCGCCACCCCATTGCCACATCACTGCTGGCTCGTAGCATAGGTAATAGATGTACTCGACATTTGGCAAGATTGCTTTTGACAAGACTACTGTGGACATGCTGAGCAAGGTTTGTAGAAGTACTCATATCAGAGTTCAGAGTAATCGATGTTCATTCGACTGATATGATTCGACTAGTTGGACTAGTGGACTAATGTGAGCCTCGACATTCTGCCACCCAAGGTTATCCTCTAGATACCAGAGGGCCCGACGCGGGAGATAGAAGGGAACCTTGCAAGTAGGATGAAACCACTTCATCGTTGGCAAGGTTTGACTCGTCGTAAGGAGACGCGTTCAATTACATGAGGAGCAAGTCGAATGGTAAGGGTACCATTAGAGTGGACTCGTTCAATACGATATGGTCCATTGGCTCAAGGGTCGAGCTTGTTTGGCTTATAGCGAAGCTTTAGAACTTCCTGGCCAGGTTGATAATCATAAGCAAATCGGCGACGATTGGCTCGTATCAATTCTTTGTCAATGAGCTGTTGTCAATGTTGTTGAATGAGCTGAAGGTCAGCTTGCATTGGAAGATCTAGGATCATGTCACGGTGGAAGGCAAGTGATCTGGGCATAGCGGTTATAGTTCCGTGATAAGAGCAGCGGTGTGCATACACTGCATTTGCAATGGCAGTGTCAACTAATTGTTCGGCATCATTGATGTTGAAAGGGTGGTTCAGTGTAACCAATACTCTAAGAGAGTTGCCAATAGTTTGATGCATCCGTTTGCAAACTGCATTTGCTTGAGGATTCTTGGCAAAGATAGAACGAGGTTCAATTCCGTGTAGATTCAAATGATTTTGAAAGTTGAATCCCGCTTAATTGGTTCCTTGGTCATGGATGACGGTTGCAGGGCGCGGGTAACGGGCGAACCAAGCGTTTTCAAACTGAAGTATTTTGTTCGCACACGTTTTGTCCTTAATGCGCACAATTTCGACCAAGTTGGTCACTAGGTCAATGATTGTCAAGGCTCTGAACTCGATCTCTTGTCCTGCCACCATGAGTGTCCAAGGACCAATGAGATCAACTGCGAGTTGTTGCCAGGGGATGAGTGGAGCTTCCTTGGGAGCAGTGTGGCCGTGGCCTCTACCGACAGCCTTGTGTCGTTGACATGTGTCGCATTTTGAGGTAAAGTCTTCAATAACATTAGATAACTTTGGATTGTGAAAAAAATTGCGCATGTTATCCTTGAGGCGCGTGGAGCCCGGGTGGCTGAGAGCAGCGTGATACCATTGGATGGTGGGTTGTAAGAATTGTGTTGGGAGATAGATCTTCAATGGAGAATTGGCATCTCTCACATAACAATACACCTGGGTGTCTTGTGCAAAGGTATATTGGACATACTGTTGAGGTTTGGTTTGCGTCAGCTCGGTAAGCTCAGCGTCCTGAGTTTGAGCATCAGCGATAGACTTGAAATCAAAAACAAAAGGTAAGCTATCCTGAACAGGCAGGTGAACGAAGCAATTGAGTAATTGCAAATCAGTGGCCATAGAATAAAATGAATTTATAGTATCATGGGATGATATGTTAGCATTGGATGCTGTGGTTCTGTTATCATTTGATGATAGGTCAACATTGGATGTTGTTTCAATGAGAGGGGCATACTCTTGGTAGGCTCCAATTGGTCGACGGTATAAGTCAATAGGATCCTTAGGGTTGTCATAGTGCCACCGAGGAGGTGTCATAGTTAGGCAAGAAAGGGCATCAGCAAGAGTGTTGTGTTCTCCTTTAATGTAATGGAAAATTGGATGGAAGGTCAGATTTTTGTGGTCAGTGTAGACATGTAGTCCCTTGACACATACAGCATGGTGCAATACTCTTTGAGAGTTTCCACAATGGAGAGAATTTCTTTTTCTCCAGCAGTGTAGTTCAACTGTGCTTTAGAAAGCTTACAAGAGTAATAGGCAACAGGTTTGCTGTTCTGAAAAAGAGCGGCACCCAGTTGATAGTTGCTAGCGTCACAGTAGACGTGAAAAGGTTGATTATAGTCTGGATAGGCCAGAAATGCATCCTTTGAGAGCACAGCTTTGATGTGGTCAAAGGCCTTTTGACATTTGGGTGTCCAATCTAATTTCTTCTTGTTGTGTCCAATACGTGCAGTCAAAGGCGCGAGAATGTGTGAACGTTTTGGAAACATGTCATGGTAAAAGGTTACTGCGCCAATAAAGGAACGGAGTTCTTAGACAGACTTGGAAGGTTTGAGTCTGAGGATTGCGTTGATCTTCTTTTTCCACGGTTTGATTCCAGTAGGCATGAGCCAATAACCAAGCCAATCAGTTTCTTGCACACAAAATTCACATTTCAGCGGATTGCAGGTAAAACCATGATCTTGCAAGATTCGCAAGATTTTTCTGAGGCTGTCCATGTGCGAGTTCCAATTGTTGGAAAAGATTCCAACATTGTCAATGTAGACGTCTGCTTCTTCGAAGTCAGCAAGGAGCTGTTCAATGTGTGCTTGAGCAATGTCAGGAGATTGTTTGAAGCCCATAGGAAGACGCATGTAACGATAGTTGCCGAAGGGTGTGACAATGCCACAAAGGTCCTTCAACGCTTCGTCCATTTCAAATGTGTAGAAAAACATCGAAAGGTCAAGCTTTGTGAAATACTTGTAGCCATTTCGTTTCTTTAGAATATCTTGTATTATTGGCAGTAGCCAAACCTTGCGTTTAATCATCTTGTTTAGTTGCCAAAAGTCGGAAACAAATCTAACTCTACCATCCTTTTTCGGAACAATAAAGGTGGGAGATAAGTAGTCCATTGGACCGCATTTCTCCAAAATACCCCATTGGACCATTTCATCAATAGTTTTCTTGAAGACAGCTTCATGACTCTTGGGGACAGAATATGGACGGTTCTGAAATGGTTTTGCTTCGGGAGTAAGCTCGAGGTGTGCTTTAGGACCTTTGAAAGGGCCAAGCTTGCCGGAACGAACGAGGTTACCGTTGAACAAGGGTTCAAAGTCTTTTATAACATTGTAAAGATCGTTTTGTTGTTTACCATTTAGATGTTGTTGTTGCTTGGCAACATGTTCCAAGGGAACTAAATCATATTTGGATTCTGCAATATTAAAGGAATGAGATATCTGTTGCTCAATGTGTTCATTGAGACTTTCATCAGGGTCTGAGTGATAGCAATGGGTTGCCATCAATTGCGCCATCAACATGGATGTATCTTCGTTTGGATCAGTAGTTTGAGGACTGAGGCCAGATTCGGGCGGCTTATAAGGAACGTGTTTGTCCATCCATTTGATTGTTTTAGTAGATCCGCAACAATCGATTCCAAGGGGAAGTAAAATATTATTTCCAATAATCATATCGTACCTCGTGTCTGAATCAAAAACAATTGTTTCAAATGTGGATTCCACTTTTTGCGTGGGAGAAAATTCAGGGAAAACGATTCCCTCAATGTTTATGACTTGCGTGGTCAAAGATTGTTTGCCGCTTATCGTTCCAATTTAGAGCAACAATCGATTCCAAGGGGAAGCAAAATATTATTTCCAATAATCATATTGTACCTCGCGTCTGAATCAAAAACAGGGTTAGGGTTAGGGTTGGTTTTGTTGTTTACCATTTAGATGTTGTTGTTGCTTGGCAACATGTTCCAAGGGAACTAAATCATATTTGGATTCTGCAATATTAAAGGAATGCGATATCTGTTGCTCAATGTGTTCATTGAGACTTTCATAAGGGTCTGAGTGATAGCAATGGGTTGCCATCAATTGCGCCATCAACATGGATGTATCTTCGTTTGGATCAGTAGTTTGAGGACTGAGGCAAGATTTGGGCGGCTTATAAGGGATGTGTTTGTCCATCCATTTGATTGTTTTGGTAGATCCGCAACAATCGATTCCAAGGGGAAGTAAAATATTATTTCCAATAATCATATCGTACCTCGTGTCTGAATCAAAAACAATTGTTTCAAATGTGGATTCCACTTTTTGCGTGGGAGAAAATTCAGGGAAAACGATTCCCTCAATGTTTATGACTTGCGTGGTCAAAGATTGTTTGCCGCTTATTGTTCCAATTTTTTTCTTCACGGTTTTTCCATTGATTCCAGTGGGCAAATTTCTACGATGGATGTAAGATTCATCTGATCCAGGATCAAACAACACACGTGCAAGTTTGTTGACACGAGTTTTTTGCCTCATCTTTATAACAGAAACAGATTCTGGTCTAAGCAATAAGTTTAATTCTTTACTAATGTCTACTTTCTCACTGATAGTCTTGGGGACTTCTGCACCATTTTCGTAGGCATCTTTTACGTTTGACATATATGATAACCTAAGATCAACTAGAACGTTTGAATCAGCGATGTTGTTCAGGCTGTCAAAGCGACAGAAATCAATGTGGTGAGAGAAAGTTGGGACATAGTAAGATTCATTGTTCATGCAGACCGCACCATTCTTGTTGGATGAGTTGGTCTCTTTAGAGGTGGTCGAATCATCATCAGGCTTATCTCCAGGGAGATAGATTGATGACAACAAAGCTGTTGGACTTCTTGTTGCTCATTTGGGCCTTGTAGTTGCTGATTGCCTTACACTTGGAGATAGTGTGATTCTTATGACTGGGCTTTTGAGTGTTAGAATAAAGCAAAATGTGCTCTATCGTGAGTGCCTTTAGCGCTCAGAACAAACTCTCTGCAAAGTTTGGCTTGAATTGATGATTCAATCACAAAAGTAAGTTCAACAATTTTCCCTTGGAAAATCCCTTGTTTACAGAACTTGATTCGACCTCTACTACGATTCTGTGTTGGATACAGTACTTTGGGACATATTGAATTGTTCCCTACTGCATTGTACACAACATTGATATCTCACTTGTATAGGGTCATTCCCTTTTTGTGTAGATGTAGTTTGTCTGACAGACTCTCCGTCCGGCATACTTGCGTCAAATCCCAACATAACGATCAAAGTCTGATCGCACATGTCAAAAACTTTGTACTTGAATAGTTTCTTTTTGGAACGTAAAAACTCATATTTCGTCATATCCCAATACACTCCTGCCATTGTGACAATCACCATTGGCAGCAATGGGACATGCTCTCATTCACTGTTTGTTTTTTGTTTTGTATTTTCATTTTTGAACATATACATACTTGTCTGCCCTAGTCCTGTGGACCAAGAATCAGATCCCTGAACTTGCGAAACTTCTCACCTTGCAATGGCTTAGTCATGAAATCCGCAATCATATCGTCAGTCAGACAGTATTCAATCTTAACATTTCCTTTCTCAACTTGATCTGTGGTAAAGAAATAACGAATATTGATTGCTCGGCTTCTTTTGCCCGCGCTCTTGCGACCATTCTCTTCCAGTAGAATTGCGCTTTTATTATCCTGATACAAGATATTTTTCTCGATCGGACACCCTTGCCACTCCATGAACAACTTTGTCCATAGTATCATCGTGACAACATCGTCAACAGCAATCAGTTCCGCTTCCGTACTGCTTCTGCTGTTTAGCTTTTGCTTCTTTGACA